ATATTTTTATGTTGACTTCCACCTAACTGTCTTCAGACATTTGGGTTGTGAGGCTGCCACCTGGCATCTTGTTGTCATTTGAGATTCTACCCCTGCCCAGTTAAATCCTTGTTTTTCAGGAGACAGCTGAAAGCACTGCCCCTTCCCAGAGCAGGCAGCTCTGGTTTCTGACCCCCTCCCATCCCTTCTCATTCTTCCCCTGTAGATGCAGGCCCTGATCTCCTGTGAGTGTACCATCTGCCCCGAATGCTTCCGCCAACACTTTACCATTGCACTGAAGGAAAAGCACATCACAGATATGGTGTGCCCTGCTTGTGGCCGCCCTGACCTCACCGACGACACACAGTTACTCAGCTACTTCTCTACCCTTGATATCCAGGTACTGCAACCCTTAGCATTCTGGTACCTTAGGCTTTTGACAGGAACTGTACCCACCTACACCACCTCTGCATCCTGTCCCCAGCTTCGGGAGAGTCTGGAGCCAGATGCCTATGCATTGTTCCATAAGAAGCTGACAGAGGGTGTGTTGATGCGGGACCCCAAGTTCTTGTGGTGTGCCCAGGTATGTGGCCTGCCCAGAAGAGCTGACTGTGGAGGCACAGGAATGATGCAGGTAGTACCTTGAATAGCTTTGTGTTCTTGCATACACAGTGCTCCTTTGGCTTCATATATGAGCGTGAACAGTTGGAGGCAACATGTCCCCAGTGTCACCAGACCTTCTGTGTCCGCTGTAAGCGTCAGGTGAGGCTCAATGTTCATCCTTAGAGAAATATTTACTAAGTTACTTCCAGGTACTGTGTTAGACTCGGGGAGTGTATTGGAAGGCAAAACAGGCATGAGCTCTGAGCCCAGAGAACTTACTAGGTAGGGAGCCATGCCCAAGAAGGGGAAGGAGGTTAGAGAGGAAAAAGGAAGACAGTAGGGAAGAAAGAGGGAAAAGAGAAAGCAAGAGAAGGGAAGGTGGAAAAAGGGAAGAGAGGCAAGATGGAAGAACATCAAGGGAAGGAGGAAATAATTTTGCATAGGCATAGTTCTATAAAGAAATACAGAATGTGAGAGATAAGGAATAGCAGCACAGACGAGCTGAGGATACAGAGGTCCACAAAGTCTTCTCTAGAATGGTTTAATTTAAGCTCAGGCCTAAAAGATGAGAAGCCATGCAGAGTGTGTTTGGAACAGAGAACAACCCATGAAAAGGCTAAAGGAAGAAAATGTTGTTGGCTGGATCCTCAAGGGCAAGGGCACAGCTGGTAGGTTGTAGGTGAGGAGCTGGTGCCAGATCCACACAGGCACTGAGGCCAAGCAAGACAAGCATGTGCCTTCATTCTGGGACCAGACAAGATCTGATGCATCTCATTTCTCTCTTAAGAAACATAACATTTGATACCAACAGACTTGCATCTACATTATGAAACATAATAAAACACCTGAGACCCTGCCACCTACCAATACTATTAAGCTCCCGACTTAGCTTCAAAAAGTTTTCTGCGGGAGTGTGGAGAATGGGCCACAGGGAGTAGAAGGGAAAAGGAGACTTAGCAACCCATGTAGGTAAGCAGGGCAAGCCCTGATGACAGCCTGGAGAAACTGGTGGCAGAAGGAATGAAGAAAAGAGACAGCTGATACAGGTTTGGAGTGGTAGAAAGTAGATTTGTTAATGAACATGAGATAAGAACATAGAAAAACCATGTGCCAGGGGCTGGGGATTTAGCTCAGCGGCATAAGCACCTGCCTTGGAAGCAGGCAGTCGTGAGTTTGATCCCTGGTACCAGTAAAAACGAAAAAGACCAAAAAAAAAAAAAAAAAACCATGTGCCCAGGGTGTGAGCGCATCTTGGGTGGCAGTGACATACACTAAAGTAAGACCCACTAGGTATGTGTGGAAGGACCAGCAGGAGGAGCTGAGGCATGAAACAGAGCTCCTTTCCTTTTGACAGTGGGAGGAACAACACCGAGGACAGAGCTGTGAGGAGTTCCAGAACTGGAAACGCAATAATGACCCAGAATACCAGGCCCAGGGCCTGGCAATGTACCTTCAGGAAAATGGCATTGGTAAGGCCACCCTGCCTGGCCTGTCTGCTCAGTGGTGTATCACTTGGCAGCTGTTCGCTCTTCGAGGGTCTTGAGTTGCAGTAGCAGCCCCAACCCTGATCTGCTGTGCCTTACAGACTGTCCTAAATGCAAGTTCTCATACGCGCTGGCTCGAGGAGGCTGCATGCACTTTCACTGTACCCAGTGCCGCCACCAGTTCTGCAGTGGCTGCTACAATACTTTTTACGCCAAGAATGTGAGCTCAAAGGGTGGGGAAAGCAGAGATGGGTAAGCAGCTGCCAATGGATTTGAGGGGCAGAGGCTTCAAGGAACAGCCCAAGGGAAAAATAGAGCTCAGTAGGCTGTAAAGTCCATCTGTCTCCCCACTTTCCCCTTTTGCTTGCTCCAGACCTTCCAATGTCTCCATCTCCCTTCACCCCATGCCCCTCATGCAGGGGTCCCTGAGAAACCAAGACCCCAGCAATCTCTTTAAGTTTTCCTCTCCCATCTGGGTTTCTACCAGAAATGTCCAGAGCCTAACTGCAGGGTGAAAAAGTGCCTGCATGCTCACCACCCTCGAGACTGCCTTTTCTACCTACGCGATTGGACTGCAGTCCGGCTCCAGAAGCTGCTACAGGTCAGAAGTGGCCGGCCTGTTGGGTTTGCAGGTTGTACAGGAAGAAGAGGAAGGGCAGAGGGTGGGCATTAGTGAAAACATTCTCACAGGTTCCAAAGTGGGCACAGAAGCCTAAGAAATGCAATAGTAGTTGGCTTCAAGGGGAACGTAATACCCATCTGTCTCTGCCCCTCCTCAGGACAATAACATCATGTTTAATACAGAGCCTCCTGCTGGAGCCCGGGCAGCCCCTGGAGGTGAGTGCTGGGAAGCCTCCAAGAAGGGAAGATGGTGTGCTGGACTCACTGCATGCCAGTGTGGGAACGGTTTGGCCAGTAATTAACCTCTCCAGGTCTTGTTTTTCTCCTCTGTAAAGTGAAGATTATAATACTCACTTTGCTACTAAGTTGTTTTACAAAATCGTTAAAGCACATGGCCCTAGCCTGGCATGGTGGTGCAGCACTTGGGAGATTGAAGCAGGATTGCCATGAGTTGAAGGCCAGCCTGGGCTACATAGTGAGTGCAAGGCCAGCCTACACCACATAGCAAGATCTTGTCTCAGAAATAAGAAGAAAGAAAAAGAAAGCACATGGCCCTTGTTTCTTCTCAAATAACACTTCATTCATCAGCTCTGTATGTCATGAGACCTGGCAGTTATAGGGCACTATTTTAGATTCCATGAGGACTACAGGTAAGTTACCATGCAAGAGCTAAATATGAGTGTGTGTGATTATGGGCCAAAAGCCACCTTAGGTAAAAGCAGGGCAAACAAGGTCCCTGCCTCTGTGTCAGAGTTGGTGTGCTGCTGATGGCATCTCTGCATAGCCTGCCACAACCACCATGAGTGGAACAGGAGTTCCTATGCTCAGTCCTCTCCCTGGAGGCTGCCTCCACAGGCTCTGTGGATATCCCCATTCTCCAGGGGCTTTGTAGGCAGTGGCCTCCGCCCAACAAAAAGTCCCTTCCTCCCCTCACCCTTAGGTGGCTGCCGAGTGATGGAGCAGAAAGAGGTTCCCAATGGGCTCAAGGATGAAGCTTGTGGCAAGGAAACTCCACCTGGCTATGCCGGCCTCTGCCAGTGAGTGCTGGGCAGGACACACAGCATGGTGTTGGGGGTGGGAGAGAAGGAGTGGTGAGGGTGTGACCAGGCAGTAAAGTAGGGTTTCTGGGAGCAGTACATCCTGCAAACAGTGGGAGAGTTGGGGCTCTTCTGGAAGGGGCCTGGATGGATAATAGAAGAAGATGCTGGTTGCACTGTCCTACAAGTACAACAGATAGCAATTGTCATTTGGTTTGATTTTTGGTTTTTTGAGACAGGCTTTCACTGTGTAGTTCAAGCTGCCTTTGAATTCCCTATGTTGCCTAAGCTGGCTTTGAACTCACAGCAGTCCTCCTGCCTCAGCCTCCTTAAGTGCTGGAATTACAGGCCTGTACCACCACACCAGATGTGTTTTATTTTGGATACTGGGGAGTGAACATAGGGTCTTCCCACTGAGCTACATCCCTGTCTTTGACATAGGGCCTTCCAGAGTCACTGAGTTGTACAGATTACTATCTTAAAGTTACTAAGTTGCCCAGGCCAAAGTCAAAATTGTGATCCTCTTGCCTCAGCTTCCTAAAATGATGGGATTACAGGCAGACACCAGCATGCTCAGCTAGGAGCTGTCTTGTTTGAGGATTCAGTGCCCAGCAGAGTGCTAGGCCCACTAAGTTAATATTAATCAACAGAAGAACAAATATCCTACTCCGTCATCTCCCCAGGGCACACTACAAAGAGTATCTTGTGAGTCTCATCAATGCCCACTCACTGGACCCAGCAACTCTGTATGAAGTGGAAGAGCTCGAGACAGCCACTGAGCGCTACCTGCATGTGCACCCCCAGCCCTTGGCTGGAGAGGATCCCCCTGCCTACCAAGCCCGTTTGTTACAGGTAACACTTTGCTCAGCCTTACCTGTCACAACCCTCCAGAAGTCACCCATCCCAGCCTATTTCTGAGCTCCAGGAATCCAGTGTCATTATCCTCTCTCTCCTTCTGCAGAAGCTGATGGAAGAGGTGCCCTTGGGACAGAGTATCCCCCGCAGGAGGAAGTAGCTGTGGGCAAGGGTCTTCAGGGGGCTCCAGTGGCCTCAGAAACAGCTCCAGCACCAATAAAAAGGCATCTTACTGCCAGCTGCTTGGTGGTCCTTCTTCCTGGCTCCACCATCTAGGGGCACCAGGGAAAGGGGGGTGAACCAGATTTTGCTGAAACGGGCTCCTGCAGCCTACCATCTGACCCACCCTGGTCTCAGGCCAGGGAACAATTGGCACCGGGCCTGCGCTTTTCTCCAGGCTTCCCTTCTTCCTTTCGTGGGATTCAGTTAGTGTTGGAGGTCACCCAACTGTACCAAGTGGGCACGGTGGGGGGACATAAACACAGGTGTACATGTGATCCTAAAGCTCCAAGCCAAGCCGCGGGAACCGCCTCTGAGAGGAGACTGCAGTATTACACGAAGAAGGTCATACAAGCGCGGAGGATCAGCCAGGAAAGGGAGGAGCCAGTCAGGAGCGGAGGGGCGCCCCCTGTTGCTGACTGGAACCGACAGATTCTCAAGTATTGCTTCCCTCTAGTGGTGTCTGGCGGCTCTGCAACTCGAACCACGTGATTTCTGGGAAAGGGACCTCGCGGGAGGAGAACTGAAACTTAGGGCGGGGACTGTTGAAAGGGGTGGAGAGACCGTGCAGCCGCCTAGCCCGGAGCTGAGGTGGATTGAGCCTTCCAGCAGCCGGGACAGCAGCTAAGGTAAGAGCAAAAAGAGATGGCTGTAGGCCAGGGATCTAGAGCTGGAGGCCCAGCAAGATTGGAGGTCCTCCCAACTCCTAAAAAACCAAAAGATTGGAGGTGCCCCTAGGGGCACACTGGGGCCCTCTGCAGGACAGAGTGTCTGTGAGTCCGGAAGCAGGGAGGGTTGGCCTAAGAGTGAGAAGCCGTAAGAGCCAGTGTTCAAGGCCCTGCTGAAAGAGGCAAGGAGGAACTGCCTCTTAGCCCAGCTTCAGTTAACCCTGTTTGTCTCGTTGCCTTCTGGCCCTGCCCACTTCTGCTGTAGCTCCGCCTGGGCCCTCAGCTGCTTGCCCCACCTACCCCTGGAGCAAATGAGAGAGCCAGAGGGGCAAGGATGGGTTGGGGATAGGTGAAGAGGGACGGTGAAGCATCTTAGAGACCCTCTCTGCTTATAGCAAAGGATTGAGACTAAGCAGCCTTCACCAGAAGAACACAGGGGATTCTCTTTTCTGCCCAACAATACATTGCTGAAAAGTCTTAAGACTGGGGCTGGGGATTTAGCTCAGCGGCATAAGCACCTGCCTTGCAAGCAGGCAGTCGGGAGTTCGATCCCTGGTACCGATAAAAAGGAAAAAGACAAAAAAAAAAAAAAAAAAAAAAGTCTTAAGACTGATGTCTGCCCCGTGCAATGGTGCGTGCCTGTTATCCCAGCACTTAGGAGACTGAGGCAGGATTGCCACAAGTTCCAGGCCCGCCTGGGCTGTCTAGTGACTAAGTCCAGCGTGAATTACAGAGATCCTGTTTAAAAAAAGACAAGAACAACATCAAAATTTTCTTTCCAGGTGCTAGCTCAGAATGTTAACAGAATTACTTTTAAAATAGCTACAAAAGAAAAAACAGTAAGCAGGAGTGATGACAGGAATAGTATCTCTGCCTCAAAGCAAGTGGTACACACAGAGCCAAAAGATGCGGCTGTTATCAGACACCAGTCCCAGTGGTCTGGGCTTAGATATGCCCTCCCCAAGCACCTGTCGTGATGCTTGCTTCTTCTCTTGTCTCCCAGGATGGCATCAGGCAGGGTTCGCCGCACTCGAAAGCTCCGAAATTGGGTAGTGGAACAAGTGGAGAGTGGGCAGTTCCCAGGGGTGTGCTGGGATGATGAGCCAGCTAAGACCATGTTCCGGATTCCCTGGAAGCACGCAGGCAAGCAGGACTTCCGGGAGGACCAGGATGCCCTCTTCTTCAAGGTGAAAGGACCTGGAAACCACTGTCCCTTTGGGGGATGGAGTATACACTGGTGTGCTTGCTTTCAAACCCTTTGGTCTCTGTGGCTTTCTGATACCGGGCAGATCAGATAGTAGGATCATCTGTGTTATTTTTACAGTTCAGTACCAAATGAAAATGCAGAACCCCACATTAAAAGATTATTAAGGATTTCAAAATGGTAATGGCTGTGGTGGCACACACCTATAATCCCAGCACTCTAGGTGGCTGAGGCAGAGATATCCTAAGATTCAGTCCCACCTGGGTAACCTGGCGTAGACCTTGTCTCAAAAGGGTTCAGGATATAGCTCAGTGGAAAGGCCTTGGGTTCAACCGCCAGTACTGCAGACAAACAAATATTTCAGAAAAGAAGCAGCACACAAACCTAGCTCATGCTCATCTGAGCTTACAGCCTTGCACTTGTGCAGACCACGTGCCACAGACCTAGCCCTTTTGGAGGGCCAGCTGGGTATGTAATGTGTTGCCTCTTCACATCCTTTGGTTACTAGGCCTGGGCAATATTTAAGGGAAAGTACAAGGATGGGAACACAGAAGGCCCTGCTGTTTGGAAGACTCGTCTACGCTGTGCCCTCAACAAGAGTACAGAATTTGAAGAGGTTCCTGAGAGAGGCCGAATGGATATTGCTGAGCCCTACAAGGTATACCGGCTGTTGCCTCCGGAAACCCTGCCTGGTGAGTGTCTGCGTGCCCAGCCACCCAGCAGACTGCAGAGGTGGGATGGAAGTACAGGCCTCCTGAGGTCCCTTGGACTCCTGCCCTGGGCCCTGCATTTTTTAGGAGCTGCAGCCCAGGTTCCCCTTCCCCGTCCTGTGCATCTCTTAATACCCCTCGCCTCTCTTTTTTCCTAAGACCCTAATGCTTCTCTCCCCTCTTAAGACTGCACAGCCCAGCCTGGGACCCAGAAAGCCTCAAAGAGACACCACAGTTCTGTATCCCCTGAGAGGGAGGAGAAGGAGACTTTGAAGAGCTGCACACTCAGTCCTTCCCGCCTTCAGGACCCCTTCAGTAATGTGAGAGCTGGGGAGGGGACTGAGTGTGCCTGAGGGCAAGATGGTAACTAGAGGAAGAGGTGGGCTGATGCCAGACACTGTGCGTGCAGGAGGTGGTGAGAGCTGCTAGGGGAGCAGGCCATCCAGACAGTGGGAGCAGCGGGAGCAGTGGGAGCAGCAGCCCCGAACCTCAGGAAGGTACCACTTCCTCTGCCTCTGTGTCCTTTGTGCTGTACTCTCTGGCCCATGGATTCCCCAGTCCCCAGTCCCACTCTGTCTTGATTCTAGGTACAGACAGCACTGACAGCACTGAGGTCACCACTCCTGAGGATCCGTTCCCCGCAGATTTGGACTTAGGTACTTGGCATTTATGACCCTTTTAAAAAAAATTTTTTCTAATTGGTATTGGGGATCGAACTCACGACCATGCACTTGCAAGGCAGGCACTTATGCCACTGAGCTAAATCCCCTGCCCTGTCTGTGACCCTTTACTGCTCCCTTCCCTTCCGAGTCTGATTCCTCTGGTAATATCCTTTGTCCAGCCAGCCTTATAGCAAATTGGACCCACCTTACCTTAAACAGAGGTACTGGCTTCTGGACAGAGTTCCATGTACCTACTGTACCCCTCAAAGCCTTTTTTTTTTTTTTTTTTTCAAAAATACAACCTAGCATGCACTGTTCCCTGGACATCCACATTGACTTTTTTTTTGATATGCCAAGCATTGAACCCTTAACCTCACATATGCTAAACAAGTTTGTAATCCCAGGACTGGGGAAGCTGAGGCAGGAGGATCATTGCAAGTTCAAGACCAGCTTGGGCTTCAGAGTGAGCACAAGGTCAGCCTGAACTGCCTAGCAAGACCTTGTCTCAAAAAGACAAAATGTAAAAAAATAAAAAATAAATTGCCCCAACTATCCTTGAACTTTCCAGTCCTCCTGCCTCAGCCTCATGAATAGCTGGGATTACAGGCATGTACCACCAAACCTGATGAGGCACTGATTTCTTTGTGTTCATCAGAAGCCCACTTGTTGGGGCCCTTCTTACATAAACAGTGAGGCTTTGGGCCTTAAGCTGTGATGTAGGTGAACTATAAATTAGCTACTTGCTTGAATGAATCTAAGATGATGACATGATGACCCTGGCTGGTGGGGGAGGGAGTGAAGGTAAGAAGAGGAGGATACCTTTTTTCCCTCCTTTGGGTTTTTTTGGAGACAGGGGCTGTCTATGTAGGCCATCTTTAAACTATGTGGCCCAGGGCTGGCTGTCAACTTGTAGCAGTCCTCTGCCTCAGTCTCCCAAGTGCTGGAATCACAAGCATGTGTCACCATGCCCAGATAAAGGCGTATTTTTTCTTTCTTTTTGAAACAAGATCTCACCATGTAGTTCAGGCTGGCCTTCAGCTCACTTTGTAGCCCAGACTGGTCTCGAACTAGCAACCATCCTTCTGTCTCAGCCTCCCAATGCTGGGATTGCAGGTATGAGCTACCACACCCAGTGCAAGGGTACCTTTTTCAACCTGGGAAGTTCTAGCTGTTTCCCCACTGCCCAGTCCTATCCAGTCCTTGTTTGGTTTCCCTCTTTGGCCCAGTTTTCTCATTAGCAAAGTGAGGACACTGAATTCCGATGCCCTCCACTTCATTTTTCTGAAGCCTGTGTCACCAGATGTACCCTGGGGGAGCAGGGCTGCCACCAGCCTGCTGCTCTCACACCTGGTTCAGCTGGGCTGTTTGATCCCCAGACTTCTCGCTGCTGCTCACCTTCATCTATAGTGGGCGTGTGGTGAGCGAGCACCAAGTGCACAGCCTGGACTGTCGCCTTGTGGCTGAGGCCTCAGAGTCTGAGAGCAGCATAAAGCAAGTGATGTTTCCCAAGCCTGACCCAGGAGATCCCAGCCAGCGTCTGCTCAGCCAGCTTGAAAAAGGCATCCTGGTGGCCAGCAACTCCCGAGGCCTCTTTGTGCAGTGCCTCTGTCCCATCCCCATCTACTGGACCGCACCTCAGGACCCCCCTGGGCCAGGCCCACATCTGCTGCCCAGCAACAAGTGCGTGGAGCTGTTCAAAACCGCCTGCTTTTACAGAGGTGAGGTGGTCTGAGCTGGGCACCAAGCCCAGCCTCCTACCTTAGCATCACCTGAGCCTGACCTGGTGGGTCCTGCCATCACCCTGTCCTCCAGCAGACTGTTCTGCTGGCACTGCTACATTTGCATGTGCACATCCCCCATGGCCATGGTTCAGCCTTGGTGGCTATCCCTTCCCAGCCAAGGTCACAGAAGATGAGGTTCAGGGAGCCTAGCATAAGAATGTCTGCCACATTCCGGGGAGCACTGTCACATTGAAGCACACGGTAGTTATGTGAATTATGTGGACAAGTGAGCACAGAGATTTTGAGCCTTGTGGGTCCCTTCTACACATGCACTGACTTCCCTTCTTCCTGTGTGGGAGAACAAGTATGCCCCCACACCTGGCCCTACTGCACTGCATCCACCATACTGCAGGTGTACCCTGAGACTGTCACATCTTCCCTCCATCCACTCTTGGAATTCTAGCTCTAGCTGCCATTCAACTCTACTTTTGACCTTCGGAGGGGGCCAGGAACACAGGGCTTGCAGAGTGTGGGGTTCCCAGGGCTCTGGCCTTCATCTCCACATAGCCCCACTCATGCTTCTCATCATCATGGGTTCCTTGCCATTTTTTCCTTGCCTGTAGCCCACTTTTCTCACTCTTACCCTTTCTCTTTCAGACTTTGGCAGGTACTCCCAGGGCCTGGGCCCTCAACCTAAGTCCCAGGTGACACTGCATTTCTGGGAAGAGAGCCCTGGCCCCAGCCATACACTGCAGACCCCAATCACAGTGCAAGTGAGTCAGAGCAGGGGCCAAGTTCACTGTCTGATGGGAGAGGGAGGTGATGATTCACGAGGAGGCTGCTGGTGGGGAGCCTGTCTATCCCTGTTGTGTCAACTGAGCACTATCCCCATCTCTTTGGATACAGATGGAGCAAGCCTTTGCACGGCATTTACTGAAAAGATCTCTGAGTTGCACGCAGCCTTTCAGTTCCTGATGCAGAGCCGGGGGATATACCTGCCACTTCACCTCTCTGTTCCTCCTGTTTCCTTTGGTAAGGACTCAGGCTCCACACTGTTGATCTGCCACTGTTTATCTGCCTTTGTGTTGACTCTGGTGTGATCAGTCTTGAAGTCCTACATGCCCTGACTGCTGGTGAACACTTTATCCTTTGAAAAAAGTTTTTGAGATATACCCTCTTTTATATCTGTGGAACTGGGAAACTTCCAAATAGTATTAACTCAGGAGCCCTTTCCTTCTTCCCCAAGCCTTAACTCTAAAGCTAAGCACTTTATATTTTCTTCCTGGGTCTTCTTAAAGGATCTAAAATAAAATGTTATTCAAAGAGGAATTACTATCTGATTTACTGGAAGAAGACGGCAGGGATATAGAAGATGAAAGACACATAAATTTAGAATGGGGCACTTGGGTTCTCTTCTTACATCTCTAAGCTCCTTTGCTCTCTTCTGCTACAGGTTCTAGGTGTAACACTGCCTGGGCTCTGTGAGCTCTGGACCTGGTACTCTTCAGGGGCATACTCACTAGGCAACCAAGACGAGGGAGAGGTAGGGGCCAGTAGTAGTGGTCCTTACCCATAATCCCAGCACTTGGGAGGCTGAGGCAGGAGAACTGTTGAAAGTTCAGTCAGCCTGGGTCCCATAGTGAGTTCATGGCCCACCTGAAGTACTGTGTGTAGTGAAATCCTGTCTCAAACAAAAACTTGGGGCTGGGGATTTAGCTCAGCAGCATAAGTGCCTGCCTTGCAAGCATGAGGTTGTGAGTTCAGTCCCCGGTACCAAAAAGAAAAACAAACAAACAAACAAAAAGGTTGGGGCCTGCCATCAAGAGGGTCACTGCGCCTGCAACTGAACTGCTGTTATAGCCATTGCACATGGGAAAATCTGGTCTCTATAGTTCTTTGCTAGGCCTCTGTTTTGAATGTTAAACATGGCCAGGGTCTGAGTGTGGTGATGCATGCCTATAATCCCAGCACCCAGGAGGCTGAAACAGGATTATCATGAGTTTAAGGCCAGCCTGAACTATATAATAAGAACTTGAGAAGAAATCGATGTACTTTAAAGGGTGATCCTAAACAGGGCGTGGTGGTATACTCCTGTAATCCCAGCATTTGGGAGGCTGAGGGAGGTGGATCCTTGCAAGTTCTATACCAGCCTGGGCTACCAAGTGAGCTTAAGACCAACCTAAACTGCATAGTGAGACCCTGTCTCAAAAAGACAAAAATAAATTAATAAAGGCGATCTTTGATCCTCAGTTTCTTTTTTTTTTGTTTTGTTTTGTTTTGTTTTGTTTTTTCGTTTTTTTAATCGGTACCAGGGATCGAACTCACGACTGCCTGCTTGCAAGGCAGGCGCTTATGCCGCTGAGCTAAATCCCCAGCCCCTGATCCTCAGTTTCTAAGAAGTGCAGTAATTTCTGCCCCCATTCCAGCCAGGGCCACACTTTGATAGCCTAATAGTGGGTTTTCACAAGTCTCAAGTGAGAGTTTCTACCTGAGTGAGGTGAGCCCAATGGTTAAGTTTATAAATCTGTCACTTTTGAATAACTGCCTTTGTTCTGAGGCTCATTTCCCCACCACAAATTTAATAAAGACCTCTGGGACAGTATGTTTAGTGCTCAGAAGTTATGAGGCCCAAGCCTTTCTGAGCCAAGCCAGCCAGATGAACCTTTATCTTTCCAGAGTACACGTTTGGTTCTTCATGCCCTCTGAAAAAGTTTGGTATCCTGTTTTCCACATCGGTGCATGCCTGTCATACCAGAACTCAGGAGGCTGAGACAGGATTGTCATGAGTTCAAGACTAGCCTGAACTATATAATAAGATCCTATCTAAAAGAAAAAGATTTAAAAAAAAAAAAAGAAAGCAGAGCTAGTGTTGGCTCTGGACTGGAGGTACAAATTGCCCAAGGTGGGCTTGAGCTTGAGCTTGGGCTTTCAAAGCAGTGGGACTTCACGCGTGCACCACCACTCCCAGCTGAGACAAATCGACTTTGTAAGCCGAACAATATGGGCTCCATCCAACAAAGATGTGAGCCACAGGAATACAAGTCCAAAAGCCTTGTTGGAGCATGCCCCCCAACCTAAATTGTTCAAATTTTAAGAATTGGCCCTGGAGACCCAGAGTGGGTGCACACACCTGTAATTCCAGCACTTGGGAGGCTGAGGCAGGAGGTCACCAGGAGTTTGAGGCAGCCTAGGCTACACAGTGAGTTCAAGTCCAGCCTGAATGACATAGGGAGATCCTATCTCAAAGGAAAAAACCAAAAAACAAAAATAAATGTCCCTGCTGAGATGTCCCATGCTCCCTCCCCTTGGCGGCAAAGTTGGACCTAGTGGAATTTGCTGGAGAGGGCAGCATCTAAGCACAAGTCTGGCGCCTGCCCCTCCTCTACCCCTCTGCAGCCTGAGCAGACAGTTGACCCCGTTATGACTCCACTTCTGGCTACTAGTTGAGGCACTTTGTTATCTGCTAGAGACCAATCATTGGTCAGCACAGACTCTAAGAACTCCTTGTTACTAAAGGTGAGAATGAAATACTATTGGCCAGGACACCTCACATTGTCTCGCCGAGGTTCTTCTGATTGGTTCACTGTCAGTCTCCAAGGCTCTGTGGCCTGGAACACTGGCAGTGGCATGGCAACAGGCGCCAGCGTTTCCCACAGACGTCGGCTCTCTATTGGCTGTTCGCGATGCCTCCAAGAGGGGCGAAGTGCAAAGCGCCCTTCAGCACATGCTCCGTGTGTAGTGTGACCCAACCCTGCGGGAGGGCTACCCAAACTGAGCGCAAGACCGAGACGCGTAGTCGCCCCAGGGTTCGAGGGCTAAGGCTGCAAAGACCACCAGCTTCCTTGGTGGCTGCTTGGCGGCCAACCCCAGACCTCCCCTTGGAGCACCGCATCTCCAGTCTGGAAGCCGCGTCTCCAGTAAGTTCGACTCACCCAGTCGTTTGGCAAGTCACTTTGGGCCCGTGCAGAGCAGCGTACCAGTTCTTGCGTCTCTGTCGTAATCCCCTTCATTGTTTGAACGTCATTGTTTAATTGCTTCATTAAGCTCTAAAGAGTTCCAATTGAGATCGGAACTAAGGAGAGGGAGAGTCCAGGTTGAAATTTGAGAAACCATGTTCTACTATCCCAACGTGCTTCAACGCCACACAGGCTGCTTCGCCACTATCTGGTGAGCACCCAGCTGCTGTGCGCCTGGGAGGTAGGGGGCGCCCACAGAGCCTAGCCTGATGGTGCTTCCCTCCTGCCCACCTGCTTTCTTCCTCCAGGCTGGCGGCGACGCGCGGCAGCCGGTTGGTGAAACGTGAATACCTGAAGGTGAATGTGGTTAAGACCTGGTAAGGCCCAGAAAAGGCAAGAAGGAAGGCCCAGGGTGATGGCCTGGTTGGGGTAAGGATGGGAGGGAAACGCTGAGGGGCTGGTGCTGTGGCAGCAACGATCAGGGCGTGCCTTTCTCCCCAGCGAGGAAATCCTCAACTATGTGCTGGTACGAGTGCTACCGCCGATGCCTGGCCTGCCCAGGCCTCGCTTCTCTCTCTATCTCTCTGCCCAGCTCCAAATTGGCGTCATCCGGGTCTACTCTCAGCAATGCCAGTACCTTGTGGGTAAGGAAGGCTGGGAACCCAGGAGCTAGGCCGGTGTTGAGCCACTTTATGCGAGGCTGATTCTCCACCTTGCCTTTCTGCTCAGAGGATATCCAGCACATCCTGGAGCGCCTGCATCGGGCTCAGCTACAGATTCGCATTGATATGGTAGAAGCTGACCTGTGAGTGTCCCCCACGGACTGGGGCACCCAGACTTTGGTGGTGTACCTCCCTGCTTAGCCTCAGCCTATCTCAGTCTATCCCTGACAGTGTTCACTCTTCCTTAGACCCAGCCTGCTGTTACCCAGCCATCTGGACATGATGGAGGCCCTGGAAGATGCTCCAGATCCCTTTTTTGGGATGATGTCCGTGGATCCCAGACTTCCCAGCCCTTTGGAAATCCCTCAGGTAGGGCTCAACTGCTGTAATACCTCAAAGTCCTGAGCTAACAGTGCAGAAGGGGAGTCCCTGTCAGTCTGACACTAAGATTCAGGGAACGAAGCTGTATCCCACAGGAGACAGGGCAGAAGGCCTGACATCAAGGGTCCATGCAGGCAAACCCCCATGGACTTGTCTACTTAGGGCCCGTCTGACAATTATGTTCTCCTTGCTTGAGGCAGCACTTAGTCCCTCTAATCTCCACATGATATCCACTGCTGAGGCCTTAATCCAGGTCTCATCATCTGAGTGCTAGCTTTCCTTCTCTCGTTCCTCATCCACTCCCAGAGCTCCCACATCTTAGATAATATCACCTTATCGCCTGGTTCCACATTCAAATACTGGCTCCTGGCATTTGTGTGCTCTGTGCTCCAGTTCCTTCTATCTCAGCACATACCCTGGGCATCCATGGCTCACATATACCATCTGCCCCCCACCTTCCACATTCACTTCCTTTATGCAAAAGAAGTTTCCCTGGCCTATAATGGTCCCTCCTCCTTTTCAACTAGTCAAGTCCTACATATCCTTACAACCTAGCTTAAATGATACCCTTTCCCAAGAAGTCTTTTATCCTAGCCTCTTAGCACAATATCAGGTATCTTTCTATTTACCTAGATGGGTGTGGTGGTGTGTGCCTGTAATCCTAGTACTCTATGAGGCTGAAGCAGGAGGACTGCAAAATTAAGTTCAGTTTGGGCAATTTTAGAACTTAACAAGACCCTGTGTCAAAAACAAATAAATAAATTAGAAATAAAGGAAGACAGAGAGAAAGAAAAAGAAAGAACTGGAGATGTAGACCAGTATGAAAGCCATGCGTTCAATTTTCAGTATCCCCCACACATGCACACAAATCTTTCCTATTTACCTGGCCCTTATAACACTGACATAAAGATGCAGCATTTCTTGCCTAACTTGACAAAGGCTGAGACAATTTGGGGCTAGTGATGAGAGCGGTTACAGGGGGAGAGGAGACTAGGTGATAAGTGGGTTGCCTGCATACTGCAGTTCATGTCGTAAGAATTAGGTATAGTGCTGGGGGTACAGCTGCGTGCTACAACATTTGCTTTGCATGTAGGAGACCCTGGTTCAATCTCTAGTATCCTCCCTATTCCAAAAAAGAATTAGCTATAAAGGGAGATTCACATTACCTATCATTGTCTGAATGGTGCGAGAGTGGGAAAACAAGAGGGCTGACATGGAATCTTTTATCCCCAAAGATTCGCCATCTCTTAGAGGCTGCAGTCCCAGAGAGAGTTCATGAGGAGATCCCTCCTGAAGTTCCTACAGAGCCCAAGAAGCCAGGTCAGCAGAGAACTTTCTTTCTGGTGAGAGGCATAGGAAGGTGCAAGAACTAAAGAAATAACCATCTTTGAGTCAGGCTCCTTATGTGTAACCTCATCACCATCTTACAAGAGTCCTCTGAAATAAAAATTCTCACCTGTTTATGGATGAGTAAAGTAGGGCTCCCTGTGGTGAATCAAGGATACTCAGGACCAGGTTGCCAGTTACTGGCTTGGGTCTGACTAGAACTCAGGTTGATTTTTCCTCACAAACAATGGGTTTGGGAATTTGAAAAAAAGCAGAGGGACTGGCATGACTCCCCTACCCCTCCAGACAGGCCCTTGGTCACTGTTAAGTCTCCTGAGGTCATCACACTCCAGGAAGTGGAGCCCATACGCATGCTGCAGATCGAGGTGAGTCACTTCCCTGCACACAGGGCCTTAGACCCTGGCTCCTTGCGTGTGTTCCTCTGCCCACTTCAGTCCTGCCTTCTATCCCCATTGTTCCCTTTCCTGTCCCTGTTCCTGGCACTTGAGTACAGACAATGGGGCTTCCTTAGGCCTGGCTCTGTGGCATCCATCTCAAATTCACTTTCCTAGATCCACTCTTTTTTTTTGGGGGGGGGGACGCGGGGGGACAAGGTATTGCTATGTAGTCCAGGCTGGTCTTGAACTCACGATGTGGCCTGAGCTAACCTCAAACTTGCAGTGATTCTTCTGTCTTGGCCTCCCACGTAGTGGTATTTACAGGCATGTGCTACCATGCTTGGCTTTCCACTCACTTTTTACAGCCCTGGAATTGAACCAGGCATCTTAGCACTGAGGAGGCTGAGATAGAAGGATCACGAGTTAAAGAGTCCAGCCTGGACACATAGAGACTCTATTTCAAAACAAAAGAAATGGAACTGATGAGCCAGGCGTGATGGAGCATGCCTACAATCGAAGCACTCAGAAGGATCACAGCAAGTTCAAGACCAGCCTAGGCTATATACTGAATTCAAGGCCATTCCTGAATTACATAATAGGACCTTGTCTCAATAAATAAATAAATGGAATTAAGTACCTTTCCCCTGGATCTTATCTCAATAGGGTGAACAAGATCTCCCAGAGATCAGCCGACGAGACTTGGACCTGCTGATTGCAGAAGAAGATGAAACCATCTTGTTAGAGGAATATCGGAGAGGCAGGCCTCCCCTGCGGCCTCCAGTCCCCGCTGCACTGGATGGTCAGATCCCCCTGGCTCAGGCAGTCTGGGACTTGGGAGTAGCAGTGCCCTTATCTCTTGTTTTCTGTCTTCTGAGCTCTGATCTTTTCTTTGCAGAGTCTAGGGAAGAGCCCCGGGCCCTGGAGGTTGACATTGTAGTCCCCTCCGCCTCACCTCCAGCTCCTACACTGTAAGGGCAGGAGTTCCTGGACCAGGGAGGAGGGTCAGTGCTGGGAAAGGTGCTTCTAATTTCTCGTTTCCCTACAGGATAGAAGGAATTGGAGAGCCACTTCCTAGTCAGGTCCTGGCCCCTGAAGAGCTGAAGCCAGTAGGCTGGGAGCCCAGTGCCCTACTCACTGGTGAGTGTCCACAAAGCTTGAGTTGTTGTCTAGTAGAAATACTTGCATGGCTGCTGCAGACAAAAGCCATCTCCCAAACTGCCGGAGGGGGAGGGGGGCCTATAGCTTCTTGTCCTGGTGGCCCAGAGTAAAAGGACTTATTGGAAAGCCAGGACCTCTGCTGTTATTACAGAAGTGACTCCCCCAGTGGAGCTGCGCTTGCCGGCCCCACCCAGCCCAGAGGTGAGTATTATCCTTTAGGCGCCTCCTACACTCCTCGTGGGCCTCCCTCACAGAGCTGCTCCCCCAAGTTCAGGGTCACTGGTACATGTTATTTTTGAGCACGTCAGTAAAGGATGTCCTTTTCCATACCTCATTGTGGCCTCACTTTCCAAACAGGTAGGTATGCTCTTGAGGAAGCCTGGTCCAAGCCCTTTCCCCAGGAACCCCTAGGGGCAGTGTGCAGCCAATAGCAGGCCTCCAAGATGACAGGGAAGGGAGTGATGGGTGGTCTTGCCTCTACCTCCCCTCTCACTCACAGAGGCAGCCCCCATCTCCTGTGAGCCCACCAGCTCGCCGCCGCCGCCGCCGCCAGTTACTCTTCCGGGACAAGGAAACTCAGATTTCCCGGGAGAAATTCCAGGAACAACTGCAAACCAGAGCACACTGCTGGGAGTGTGTGAGTGCAGCCCGGATTCTGCTGGGGGAATAGACACAGGTCAGGCAGGCCCTCCAATCTCCTAGGGAAGCACTGTCAAAGTGATGAGAGCTCCCATTCCCTAGAAAGCCCATTTGTGCTTGCATTACCACCCAACTTTCTGTGCATACCAGGTTAAAAAGTCCTTTTATCATTGAATAGATTAGGCAGGGTCATGAGCCTGAAAGTGGGATGGCCCAAGACCCTGGAAAAGAGGTGAAAGGGCACCGAGGAGTGGCTCCCCAGTAAGGCTCCTGACCTTTTCCTCCATATAGCCAATGGTGCAGCCCCCTGAGAAGACAATCGTAAGCCCTACGGAGCTGTTCCGGACCCCAACTCTCCGTAAGGATGTCAGGAATTGGCACATGGGATCCTCAGAACCCCAAGTTCTGTACTTTTGATGTTTCTTGACTCAAACCTTGTCCTCTCATCCTCAGCTGGTTGGTTACCCCCAGAACTATTAGACTTTTGGAGCCACTGTGCCCAGGTTCCCCCAAAAGGGATCAGGTACAGACCATCTCTGGAGGCTGAACAGGAGGCTGCTGCGAGGGAAGCAGCAGCTGAAGAAGAAAGGAGGAAGGCTGAAACTCTGAGCGAGATTGAGGTAACAGCACCTCACTGCCTTTTTGCCTGAGCTCCAGCAGGCTCTTGGATACATCACTGGCACAAGCTTGCTGATCCTGACCCTTTTATCAAAGGTCCAAGCCCCAGATGCTTGGGCCTCAGTTTCCCTTCTCTCATCTCCAGGTCCTTAGAGAGGCCCAGGAGCCTAGCGGTCCCCTTGTGCTGTCTTCAGGTAAAGCACTGGTACAAGTGGGGACAGTGGAGCCCACTACCCTAGTCTCTGTTCCCGTTGCACAGCTGACTCTGACCAGATCAAGGGTGTACAATGTAAAGAAGCACACACTGATTCTCCACAGGTCACCTATCTAGATGTTTCTGACAAGTCAACACACAGCTCTGGTGTCTTGTCAAACTGGGGATCACATACGTGGCTTTGTTGTGGTGCTAGGAACTGAACCAGGGCCTCCTGCATGATAGCCATTCTACCACTGAGCAAACGCAGAACCCCTCTCAGCACCTTCCATCTCCCAACAGAGCTTTCCCTAGAAGCAGCTGAAGAGGAAAAGTCCCGAGTCAGCCTTGTACCCCCAGAAGAACGGTGGTAAGCAGCAGGCTATGGTGTGAGCCTGGGCCTGCAGCCTGGCCAGGGTGGGGGAAATGATCAAGATGCCTGTGCCCTGCACCACTGCCACAGCTGCCATCTCACTGTAATTTCATTTTCCTAGGACCTGGGCTGAGGCAGAGCAGCCAGAGCCTCCTGTACTGCCAGTGGTGCCTGAGCTCCCTGAGGTACCTGTGGAACTACCCTTGGAGCTGCCGCCAGAGCCTGAGCTGCTCTCACTGGAGTCTGTGCACAGGTACTGGGGAGAGGACAGCTCAGTGGGGGCGGACACAGGCCAGTGCCTAGGCTAACAGTTCTTCATTCCTACAGAGCGGTGGCACAGGAGCTCCAGGCCAACAGGGAGCCTGACTTTGGCAGCCTGGTGTCACCTCTCAGCCCTCGCAGGATGGCTGCCAGGGTCTTCTACCTGCTCTTGGGTGAGTGTGTGCATGTGTGAGTGTGCAAAGTAGGAGACGGGCACACAGAACAGAGGCCACAAGAGAGAATCCCTGTGACCTGCCTGCTCTCTTTAAAGAAACTGCTTATTCATTTAAGTATTTTTTTCCTCTCTTTTCTTGTCTAGTGCTCTCGGCACAGGAGATTTTTTATGTGGAACAACAGAAGCCATTTGGGCGCCTCCTGATTCGGCCAGGGCCCAGATTCCACCAAGGGTAGAGACCATTTACAAGGCTGCTAAAAAACAAGCTTCATTAAACCACATCCTGCTTCACTAGACTGCCTGCCTCATTCCTAGATGCGCATCTCTAGCTTGCTGCTCACAGAGCTCTGTCCAAGCAGTAGACAAACTGCCTTTATTCTAATACAGTGTCGTGACTCCACTTGTAATAGACCCAAGGACAGCAATGTAAGGCAGCAAGCAGGGCTCACTCCAGATGGAGATGAGGCCCCAGAATCTTTGGTAAGGTGTGAGGTGGAACCGGGCTGACAAATGGTCTTAGGGCCTGGGCGGGCTCAGCTTCTCTGAGGTTTAGGTGTAGCTCAGCAGGGCCTGCAGCTCCTGGGCCTTCTCAGCAGAAAGTAGGCCCAGTGCTGTGTGGAAGCTGTCGGCGTGTTGTTTAGCCAGGAATGTCAGCAGCAGCAGCAGTGCGGTCTTGGTGTCTGGGAGAGAGCACAAAGAAAGCTTACCAAGGAAGACTGGACTCAAACCCTTAATGCCCCATGTGCTTTGGGCCCTGCTATTCTCAGCCATTCCCAGCCCCCACCTAGTACTGGCACCCTCACCTGGTGGAATCTTGTTGTCGGCCACTATGAGGCTGCAGATGCGCAAGAGCTCAGGAGCCACATCCACAACCTGAGAGCAAAGAGTGGCCAACTCAGGGACAGTGGCAGCCCCGGGCCACTATGGTAGGTGGTCAGGACAACGGACAGGCAGTCTCCTACCACAGATGTTTGAGCCCAATACTAATCCACAGGCATTTAAGACAAATGTGGACACAAGGAGGAATAAGAATGTATGGTAGTAACTTTTTGGAGAAGGGAGGTGTGTGACTACAGATGACTACATAATCAGTCTCAAGACCAAAAGAAATTGGAATCCAGGTATTCTCCAACATAACAGACTCAAAACAAAAAAACACCCCAAACAGCTCTGAAGCTGTAAGACAAAGGTGACACAAAAACAGTGGTACTTAAAAGTCCAAACTCAGTTATCTGCTACATGTAAAACTTTATTCATAGCTAGGCATGGTGACACACGCCTACAATCCCAGCACCTGGGAGGCTGAGGCAGGAGGATCACTGCAATTTTGAGTCTAGCCTGAGCTACAAAGTGAGCTTAAGGCCAGCCTGAACTGCAGAGTGAGACCTGTCTCAATAAATAAACAAATAAATAAATAAGGAAATTAAGCCAGAAATGCAGGTCACTGACAAAAAACATTACAGGGAAAGGAAGCACCCCCCTCTCCCACACAAAACTGGCTGCCAATCCTAGCACACAGGACAGCTGCACTGGGTATGTGTAAGGATGGCCAAAACCCTGCACCAACTATTGCAGACATCACATTTGTGTGTCGCTGGACCCGACACCTTGCCAGCAGCAAGGTTACCTGATCAGGGCTGTTGTGGTACAGGAAGCTGAAGAGGTGCCCTATGGTGACCCACTCCTCCAAGTCTTCCCTCAGTGGCAGGGCATGCAGCAAGGCAGCCAGCACCTGGACACACAGACACTTCATGCCTCAAGGCCTGTCCCCTTCACTCCCCTTCTGCTTCATACCCTCTCCTTCACCTGAGGTTCTGGTTTCCTTGTTGGACTGGCCATCAGTAGGCGGGCGAGGGCCCCACAGATGTTGTCACGGACACGATCATGTCGCTCTCGTGCCAGGAGGGGCAAAAGGAGGCTCAGCAGCTTGGGAAAGTGGCTGGTTGTTGGTCAAGGAACAGGCACACATACAGGTAGACCTCGTCCCTCCTCAAGCCTAGGGAATACTCTCCCAGCCCCCGCCTCTCTCCTGTAAGCCAAGGATACTCCTGAGCAGGCTGGCCCCCGAACTCTGCCAGGACACCCAGCCCAAAGATGGCATTGCTCCGCACCTCAGGATCTGCCTCTCGGGCAGAGCTCAACAGCACCGGGAGCAGCCGAGATACAAACTGTGCTGAGGCAGCACCCAGACCCTGAATGCACTCTGCGAGTGTTCCCACAGCAAAGGACTTCTCCGCCACTGTGCAGCTCTGTTTCTATGGGCAGGGTTGCACATGAGCCTGGGACTGGGACACAGTGTAGTGGGCATTACGTGTATGGGTGGGCTGGAGTATGAAGCCAGAGTGGGGGCACTTACTGTCTTACATAGCAAAAATGGCAAGAAGCCAACAAAAAAGGGAGCAAAGATGTCTCCCCCAGCTGCAGCTGCCAGGGCAGGGATGGCCTCTCCAGCATATTCCAGCAACATGGCATCATATTCAGCCTGTAGAACCAGGTCAGAGGTTGGAACACCTGGGCCAGCTCGATGACTATGCACCTCTCCATTCTGTTCTGCCACTGGCCACAGGTGGCCCCAAGAGTTCATGGAGTACCCTGCTTCTACACTGGGCTTTTTTACAGCCCTGGTTCTCCTGCTCCTGCCTATCACTTCAAGCCCACCCTAGTCCACTGCCTTAGTGGGGTCAAGTCTGAATCACTGTGGCCATTACCAGTCTCTCCCAGCAACCCTGGCTCCCCCAGGCCAAGCTGAGTGTACTGTCTACCTTTGGCTCCAAGGGACTAGCTGGACTCCCTTGCCTGTCGTTATCTGTAGCTCTCACCTGTTCTTCCTCCTCTTCCTCCTCGGTGGTGTCCTGACAGGCTACCTGTATGTAGGAAGATGTAGCTCAGCTAAGCCTGGGATCACCTGCCTTTTTCCCTTTAGAGGTGGAAGGGTCCAAGGAGTTGAATTTATACTTCACACTATGTACTCCTCCGGCCCAGTACCTCCTTCCACAGCCCCCTGCCCTGCTCACCTTTCTCTGTAGCACAGCCTTGAGCATGGTACAGAGCTCAGCAAGGCGCCCAGGGGGCTGCAGTGCGAGGGACCCACAGCTGCGCAGCACTCCTGTCAGGGCCTCCAGCACGGCCATCACCACCTGGCGCTCCCGTTCCCCATTCACTGCCTGCATGTAAGATGGTATCACCCGTGCCAGAACAGCCTGCAGAGCTGGGGACATTATTGGCTAAAGCCCCAGTCAGGCCCTGCTCCTTCCTCCAGAGTCCCCAGCCTGGCCTTGCCTCCTTTCTCACCAGCACTGTTGGGTTCCGATGAGCAGCTTTGATAAGCCTTATGTAGTGCACAGCAGAACTGACCCAGAGCCTCATGCGCTGCCTTCCGCACATTCAGGTGAGGACACTGAGTAACAAAGAGCGCAGGGGTGTGCTTAATGGTGCAGGGTCAGCACTGCCATGGTGCCATCCATCTTTCCCACTAGCCAACTCACCTCCAACAGCTTGAATACTTCTTCAAAAACACTCTCTATGTACGGAAGGAAGGCCGCACTGTGGACAGACACACAGTCCTGGGGAAGGGCTCCTAGGCAAGAATCCCAGTGCTAGGAAAGGACTGGTGCTCACCTCGTGTTCACGGCAATCTCCCCCAGGGCAGCACAGGTGTCTTCCTTCTCATCAAAGAAAGCATTCTCCACACTGTACCTAGCAGAAGACGGGGAAGCAGTCAGTAATCTGGGACCAGTTACAGCAGGGCAGCACTGGCCTCCGTCAAAGCCTGAAAGTCTCTAAGCATCCTTCCGTACCCTGAGATCTCAGAGTCGTCTTCCTCTTCTGCATCTTCATCCATGAGTTCCTCCTCTTCCTCTCCATCACTCTCATCGTCAAACAGAAGGAAGGAGCTGCTTCCATCATACTGAGGCTGGATGAAGGATGCACAGCAGGACCCCTGACTTAGCTGGGCCCAGGGTATTAGTCTCAGCACAGGGATACCCTCACTACACGGCCCAGCCAACGGCCACCCTCTGCTCACCACAATGCCCTCACTGGAACGCAGCGACAACAGCATAAGCGTGGTAATCTGTGGCAGGTACGGTGCCAGGCTCTCACCCATCAGTCCCGACAAGGCCGCAAACAGACTGTAACTGTTAGAGATGGACAGAAGCTGTGTGGTGCTGCCTGCTGGAGCCAGACAGGATGGAGAGTTCAGGGAATCCTGGCAGTGACCCAAAACCAGAGGACGGTGGGCAAGGGCAGGAACAGATGAAGGTGTCACTCACGTGCAGCGCCGCAAGTCAGGGTCATCTACCTGGTCGCATATGCCCAACCCCAACTGACAGCATTCCTCAGCCAGGGGCCTCATGGGGTCCCCCAATGCTCGTGCCAGCACCCCCAGTGTCTCTGTAGGGACAAGGATTCAGGTAGCACCTGGGTGTGCAGATGGACTAAGAGGCAAAAAATGGCAACTAGGAGGAATTTACAGACATTCTGCTCTACTCCCAAGTACAGCATGGAGAATGCCTTCTTTCTTACAAACGAAGACAATCTGCTGCCCTGGGACAGATGGCTGTGCACTAGCTGAACACTCTCTTCCCTGGCATCAGGAGCCCTGCCTGGTAGCCCCTCAGTCACCTAGGCTCTGGATCTGCACAGGCTGAAGGTCTTCATGTCCTGCCAACAGAAATTCTCGCAGATGTTCCACAATGGCGGGGAAGTAGGGCAGCAGGGAGGCCTGGGCAGCTGTGGCTGCAGGATGGAAAGGCAGATTTGGAGCGGGAAAGGGAGCAGCAACCACCTGCCACAGGCTCTCTGGGTAAATTCCACGCCCCCGCCTCCTGCCTCCCGGTCCTCACCAATGGCACCGAGGGCGCTCACAGCCAGTTCCTTGGCCCGGGGGCTGCTGGGGTTCCTCAAAGGCTGAAGCATGCACTCCATCAGCTCCGGAAGGTAGGGCTGCACTTTGGGCCCTGTGGGAGAGCGCACTTCTTCATCAATCAACCTGAGTCTCGACCTTTTGCTAGTCGAGCCTCCTGCCTCCTGCCAAGCTGACTTCCTAGCAGCCCTTCTACACCCCTCTCCTACCATGGGCAGTGACTCAGGGAAATATGCTGAAGTCAAAGCTGTAGCTTCGTTTCCCTTCCCTGTGGTCTTCACAGCTATCCATACCTAGGTTCTCCACGAAGTTCTCCAGGGCATAGCAGGCCTTGGCTAGGTGATGTGTATGCCCTGGAGGCACCGACTTCAGGTAGGCCAGGAGCAGGGGCATCACCTCTCCTGAGTAGCTGCTGATATGTGGCTAGGGAAGGAGCAAGTAGAGGCCAAGTTAGATCCAGCTGCAAGGTACCCGAGTGCCAATGGCAGCAAGGTTGCTTAACGAGATGAAAGCTGATAGGAAGTTGGTCCTTAGCACAGGTCAGGAACTCTTCAAGAGACAGCTGCCCACATTCAGCCTTGCTGACCTGCAGGTTCTCTGAAAACTGGCCCAGGGCAAACAGTGCAGCATTACGAACAACTTGTGAAGGGTCCTCCAGGCCTCTACACACAATCTTCAGCAGTGGTGGCAGCAACCTACAGGAGTAGAACAAAACAACAGAGTCCAAGGGGCAGGAAGTAATAGCCCTGACCTAACCTCTTCACTTTCCCTAAAAAAACCAAGGTTTGGGGCTGCGGATTTAGCTCAGCAGCATAAGCACCTGCCTTGCAAGCAGGCAGTTGTGAATTCGATCCCCGGTACCAATAAAAAAAGGAAAAAAAAACAAAAAACAAGGTTTTCCCCATCATCAGATGAAGGGCACCATCCCCTGGTTCCTGCAGGTGGGGGCCATTTTATTTATCTTCCAAACCTGGACATAGGAGTAACAGAAACTGCTAATGCTAATTAATACTATCAGTAACTGAGCTCCAACAAGTAAACCAGGACTACCATGGGATGTGCAACCCTTTTCCCCAAGGCCCAAGCTCATGCTGGGACCACAAAAGAATGCATACCTCTGCCTGATGTGGTCACCAGCCCCATCCGACAGCACAGCCAATACCAGCAGCCCAGCCTTGCGCTGATAAGGACTCGCACTCTGCAAGGCCTCCTCCAGCATCGGCATCTAAAGGAGCATGGGGCATTCTCCAGAAACCCAGCAAAGGCCTGCCCACTCCTATGGCAAGAAGCCCATCACACCGACCAAGGCCCAAACATCCCTGGTCTCAGGAAACCAGACACTATTGGCACTAGGGACACTAGGATACAGCCATACTTACAAGCTGGGAGCAGAGTTTCTCAGGGGGGAGGTGCAGCGCCAGCATGTCCACAACCTGAGAAAAGTCAGGGAGACCCGTGTGACTCTATTTCTGCTTCCCCAGCCTCTCACAGCCACTTATCACCTTGTCCCTGCCCTTACCCCACATCCCACCTGTACAGCAAAGTGCTTGGGGGTCTCCCCAACCAGCCAAGTCTCCAATTCTTCCTCTTCAGAATCCTGGTCCTCAGGATCCAACTGGCCCAGGGGTGGCTCAGCAGCCATAATGGGAAAAAGGGTGTGCAGCAAAGGAGACAGAAGACGATTTTTCAGCAGGGCCTTGAGCAGGAAAAAGGAAGCAGTGTTCCTGAGAATCTGCTCCCAGGATGGGCTTGAATTAAAAATCTTAATCTTATAAGCAACAAAGAATACAGCAGGAGACTCCCAATCTCCCAGGCAAGATCTGGGTTCATTTTAGATGCCTAAGATGAAGTGAAGACCTGGCAGTGTGAACACATGTGGAGAGAAAGAGGGGCTATACACATTAGGGGGTACTCACCTTGCTCCTGACTTTAACCAAGAAAGTGAGGCAGCAGAGAATACGCACACGGATTGCATCACCCAGGGCCACATTTCTAGCCACCTGCCAGAGACTGATGAGAATCAGAAACAAGGAAATTGCTGGAGCAAGTGACAAATGCCATGCCCATCCCCTGGCTCACCTCCAGACAGAATGAGAGGACCTCAGAGAGGTGTGGGGTAACAATGGGCATCCCTGATTCCAGCAGTTCATCCAGGGCCTCCAGAGCCTCACAGGCCTTTACCTGTTGGACAGTTTTCAGGGTTACCACATCAGTCTTCATGGGACCAAGGTGGATGCTCCTGTAGTTTCCTTCCAACAGAGGTGGCTCCCTCCCACCTGTCTTTACCTCATCTATGGGGATCAGAGTCTTCACAGCCATGATGAGTTTAGGCACCAACATCCGTGCAAGGTTCTGAGGAACACAAGACAAGCTGAATCACAGACAGCATAAACAGTCTAATCTCAGGGCCCAGAAACTGACAGCTTCCTCATACTTGGACTTTTAAGGAGAAGCAGCCTAGGAACACCAGCAGGACCAGGCACCCTAGAATCTCCTTTTAACTGATAGGAAAGACAAAATCCAGAGTAACAATTGGAAGCACCCCTGAACCCAACCAGGGTGAGGACATGGAAGTCTGAGGATACAAAGCCAGGGAAGTGAGGGCCCATGTCTCACCGTGTCGTTAGTGCCGAGGTAGGGAGCCAGGCTGGTCAGAGTGCGCAGGGAGTAGAACAGTAGTGCAGGAGAGCCTACTTCAACAAGAGTTTCATTCAGAAGCCGAAGAAGCTCTCGGTGGTGAGGTTGGAAGGCCTCAGGTTGGGAAGCCACTACCACACTCAGCAACAAAAGCCCCATCTGGCCAGGAACGAGGATGGGAAAGAAAAGTTTAGCAGGCCTATTGAGCCACGTGGTCCCTCCCTCCTGCCAACAGTGCAATGGTACCTCTCTCTCAGGGATTTGGGGGCTGTGAGTACTGTGCTGCAGAAGCTGCATGAGTTGAGGCCAGGCTGCCAGGCCTTCTTTTCGAAAAATGGTGGCTGACAGCTGGGCCAGACCGAGGCTCACACAGTGCCTGCAAAGACAAGACATCTTCCAACAGCCCACGCTGACATGGCATCTAAGGCTCCAAGGGGTGGCCAGAAGAGAAATCCTCAGAAGTTGTGAGCACAGGGTCTTCACCAAGATGAAGATGAATAGTGGCATAGTGGCACTGGGCGGTGGTGGTGGGGGGGGGAATCTGGTGAGTTATGCCTCATTCTTCTCCCTCTAGTTGGCAGATCATCATCATTCACCCTCAAGAACTTTAATCGTCAACACAGACTTAGAACTTCACTCAACCTGACTGCAGGATGGAAATTCCTGCCCCCAAGTATCAGTCTGAAGCTCAAACAGAAACCTGAAACCAGAGAGGGTCAGTCTGGAGAGACACTAAGGACACTAAGAAAAGATGGTAGGCACTTACTCAGTCTCTCTCTGCAGGGCCGCCAGGACCAGGGACTTGAGGCTGCAAGACGGGTGGCAGATGTTTGGTGCTCCGCCTGCCTGACACGCGCCTCCATCACACTCCCACCCCGCGCCCAGCCCACCTCTCCCGCTGCTCCTGTGCCAGGCGTCGCCAGCGAGTGCTCACTCTTCTGCGGGTCAGCACAGCTGCGAATTGCCGGATCTAGGACGCACAGACAGGCATGTGACGGTATGCTGGGGCAGGAAGATGCTGAATGAATCGCAAAGGGCGGGAGCTGGGCTGGCCAGTGGTACACAGTAGGAAGCTCGACACGCAAGGGTCTCACCTGAGGGTCGCTCGCGGAGGCCAGCAGGTCGCAAAGCGCTGGCAGCGCTGAGGGGTCACGAAGAGCGATCCGCAGCTGTTCTGTGGCCTAGGGTGAGGGTGGGAGTCAGAATAGGGCTTTTCCCGCAGCCTCCCACTCGCCTTGGCCCGGTCCTGCCTGCCCGTACCCGGCGGATGCGCACGGTGTCCGGCAACAGCAGTTCCCGCAGAATCGCCTCCAGGCCGGCGGGCTCCATGGCTGCGGCCGAGCGGCCGCCACCAAGCCGGGAGGGGGAGGGACGGCACGTGGAAGAGCTGAGTCCACTTCCGGCGGAAAGGGCGTTACGCCTCTGTTGCCTTGGTGATTAGACTCACTTCCTACAAAGACCCCGGGCTCGGCGGCTTGCGTTAGGCTGAGCGCCGGCTGGGCAGTAGAAACAGGACCCTAGAGACGTGCGTTCCTCCTGCTGAAAGTTCCCAGGCTCCGATGAAGAACTCGAGTTTAGTGCATTCAGAGGTGGACTCAGTTTTCCAAAGGATCGTGCGCCTAACCGCAGGCCTTGAGCTTCTATAGCAGACCAAGACTTCCAACTACAAGATCCTTTTTCTTAATAAATTTTATTTTGATAATTGTAAAAAGAAAAATCAGGACCAAAACTAAAGGCAACTTAAAAAGTTCAAATATATACTCCTTGTATCATAGAGATTCTTAATTTCCAGGCCTTCTGAGGGAAAGGGAGGCTTGTTGGGAAAAGGGACAGGGAACACTGCTATCACACAATTCAGTCACCCAGTCAGAAGAGAAGCTGTCAAGACAGGTCAGTGGGGCTTGAAGAAAGGGAGAGAAGAGCAATACTTCTGCCACGCAGAACTCAGTCCATCTTGAGGTTAACATAGATATAACGGATGAACTTTAAGGAAGAAAAAAACGAAATGGTGCCCAGCATGAGGAAGAAGACATAACCGGTGAGTAAGGAGTAGCCAAAGAACTCTACTGTCTGTACTGCCCCTGACATGTTGGAGCGCCTAGCATAGTAGAAAACTGAGTAGAGGAAGATGAAGAGGCCAGTGGAGCCGACGCTCAGCACAGATCGCCACCACCAGCGGTAATCCTCTCCAGACAACTGGAAGTAGGTGAGTGCAATGGAAATGCAAGCCCCCACACTTAGGAGAATGGCGAAAACAAAGAAGAGGATGCCATACAGAGTGTACTGTTCTCGACCCCAGACCGTAGCAAAAATGTAGTACAGCTCCACGGAGATGGCACTGTGAAGAGAAGAGATGGTACACAGGGTTAAAAGGCTGTGTGCTGTTCACACCATGAACTGAAATCTAACCCACAGCCTCCCATGGTGCTGGTCACTAAGGAATGTAAACTCACGCCATCCTCTGCCCCAAATTTCCTGGCTTCAGGGATATTCTTGTCTATGATAAGCTGTTTTCATTTCATAAACATCTTATTTATTTTCTGACATTATATGCCTGGTAAAAAGTGGTAGTAAACATGTTGAATGAGTAATCAATTGGGCTTTAAGCCCTACAGGATGCCTGTAATACTAAACATAAACCAGAGCCTCCTTTCTGTTTGCTGTACAGGCACCCTGTGGGCCTTTAACCCCATCTGATTACTTATTCATCAAGCAGTTGAGCTTTACAAGATACTGCCATATCTGAACTGAACTGAAGCTGGGTCCTTTCTGGGGATAGTAGAAGCCATTTAATGAGCTCTTAATGGTACTGCTGAACCAGGGTTTATCACTGGGTTATGGTAATGGGTAAGTGGGGAAAGTCAGGAACCTGAGTATGATGGTCATGGAATAAAGGGAGGATACCTGAATGGCAGGAAGCCTCCAACAGTCATGTGGATGACAGTGGATTTGTACCAAGGCTGGGGTGGGATCTCCCGAGCAATGTTCTTGGTGCGACAAGGTGCATCAAAAGGGTTGGCGTTGTTCTTCCCAAAGATGCCTCCAATGACAGTGAGAGGAAATCCTACCAGCAGCCAAACCGTCAGAAGCAGCAGGATGGTAGTGGCTGGCAGAGCCTGTGTTGAACCATTTGCCCAATGCACCGAGTTCACCACACTCCAGGTCAGGAAGAAAGGCACTGCAGGGATGGCCCCCAGAAGGAGGGTCAGTGCTAGGAGCGACATCGATTGAGGTACTCGCTCAGACTGGACCTAAGGTGGGGAGTGAAGTAGCCTACTACTCTCATAGCCACCCGTGCTCCTGGATGTCCATAAAAGCCATTGCTTTCACCTCCATCCTTTGATATCCCATTGTTCCTAAATCTTGTTGGTACACTCTTCCCAACCCAGTGTCATCAAGGTAGTTGTTGCTATATCATGACCTGGAAGTGACAAAAATCCTCCAGTGGCCTATCTTGCTGTGGCAATGGTGATTCCTGGTAAAGACATCCCTTTGGATTAATGCCCTGTTTTCAGAAAGACCTGCTTCAAATATAAATGTAATGATAGATAAATCCAACACTTAAGAACAAGTGAGATTCAGAATGCTGATTAGTATTGTCTTTTTAAAACTCTGTGAATGTGTGTGTGCATGCATGTGTATGTGTGTGTGCGCACGCTTATTTTTTTTACTGTTTTTTGAGACAGGACTTCCTAAGTAGTTAATGTTGGCCTTTAATTCACTGTCGCTCAGGCTGGCCTCTCATACAGCAACCCTCTTGTCTCAGTCTCTGGAGCGCTAGAATTACAGGCATGCCTATCTTTAAAATGAAAGAAGTAGTATAAAAAAATAAATTCAAGTGTGTTTAGGCCTTAGAGTCAGACTGAGTGTGAAATATGGCTCACTACTTTTTAGAAGTATAATCTTGAGCAAGTTATTTAGGCTGAATTTTAGTTTCCTCATCTGACCAATGGAGATGTCCAACTACATAGTTATTTTGAGGATTTAATGAGATGAAGGTATGTCAGGTGCTTACCGTACTGCCTAAAGTATTAAAAACTTTTATTCAAAAGAAATCTTTCTTTTTTTCCTTTCCTTCCTTCCTCCTCCTCTCTTTTTTGGCCTATATTTCTTCCATTAAAGCCTCACTCTGATGTGTTTGTGTTGTTTTGTTTTTTTGAGACAAGGTCTCTCTATGCACTTCAGGCTAGCCTTAAGGTCACTTTGTAGCCAAGGCTGACCCTGAATTCACTGCAATCCTCCTTCCTCAGACTCGAGTGCTGATAACAGGCATGCACTGCCACTCCTAGCAGGTGTCCTGAGTTCTTAAGTCCAAGCAGACTCACAGAAAAGAGGCCCTCCTCACCAGAGAACAGACTGGTAGTGAGAATGATGTTCCACACCCAACGCTCGCCTCCAATCTGCCGGTAGAAGTGGCTGGACACGTAGCCAGAGATGTAGCAAGTCAGAGCATATGACAAGATGGCTGCTGAATTAATGGCTCCATGGCGATGCACATTGAACATGCCCAGCAGTGCCATTATAATGATCCCTACAAGGGAGTAGTAGAAAGCTTGAGTTAGGTGTCACCTGTTCCACTCCTTGCAATATCAGAAGAATCAGCACCCCTTCCTCCAGACCCAGGGCCTCCAGCAAAACAATCTAGCCCAAATCTGTTGTCCAGAAAACACACAATAGAATACATACATCCTCACTAAAGCCACTATAACCCCTAGGTCTACCCTTCACCTTGGATAGGAGTTCCACAGATCTTACCTCTCCCCCTGCCCCGCTTACTTTTTCCTTTTACAGTACTGGGGATGGAACCCAAGGCCTTAGCCTGTACTGTATCCTCAGGCCTGTATTATTTATTTTATTTTACTTTTTTGAGACAGGGTCATGCTATTTGTTCAGGATGGCCTCAAACAAATGGTAATCCTTTTACCTTAGTCTCCCAAGTGCTGTGATTACAGATGTGTGCCATTGCACCCAGCTTTCCCAGCCTTTTAAAAAGTTTTTTAAAAAAATTTTTTTAGAGAGTCTAAACCTGTGATCTCTCCTCAGGGCCTGAGGGCGTGGGACTACAGATATGTACCACCAAACTTGGCAGCACAGGCCTAATGAGCTACCTACCCCTTGAAAGAAATCCCCAATTCTTATCACCTCACCAGTGCCAAGAGCCAGGAACTGGGCACCCACGCCAAGCACCGCACAGAGCAGACCACGGTATGGAGGGAAGCGGAAGACATCCGTATGGATAATTTTCCAGCCATTGTCACCCTGGTCAAAGTCATCACCAGAGCCTCCAGAGGTAGTCTCCTCATCCAGGTTGTACCGAGCCAAGTCATTCCGAAGTACACGCATTAGAATGACAGCCACAAAACCTACCAGTAAAAACACAAGCACCATGGAGTTGATAATGGACAACCAGTGGATTTCCAGTGTTCTGGGAAAGAAACCACTGTCATCACCACGGCGCCTGTCACTCCGATGTTCTACTGAAGTCTCAGACCAGCGTACACTGTAAGTATGGGTAAGGCCTAGGAATTCATCAGATCGTAACCCATCCAAGCTGTGGGGCTTGACATCCCGTACCGAAACATTGGCAAATATAATTCGATCTCCATGGAATTCTAGGTGGAAGTCCAAATGAGTCCAGAGTCCTATCTTGTGGCTGTGTGGTAGGAAGCCACTCTCCTCCATGTAACCCACAAAACCACGGATTGGCAAGTCATCCACCACAAATTCAAAGTAATACAATTCCTCAATTGCCTGGCGCAGCTGCTCCACCTACAAGAACAAGTCAAGTGTCAGTCATACAAAACTCCTTGGGTCTGGGGTTAGAATATGGTATCCCAACCTTAGCACTGATGATATTTGGGGCTGGATAATTCTTTGTTGTACAGGGGCACTGACTGTCCTATGCACTGTAGGATTCACCATCTGTGACCTTTACCCACTACATGCCAGTAGTATCCCTGAGATGTGACAATCAAAAATGTCTCCAGATATTGGCAAGTGTCCTTTGGGGTACAAAACTGTCCCCTGATTAGCCCTGGTATAGATCCTAGTACAAATAAAAGACTCTAGATCCCATCAAAGAGCAAGTATCGCTTTGACAGTAGAAAAAGGAGAAAGGGCAGGTATAATATAGACTGGAATAGACTAAGTGCCAGAATTTGTTTAAAAAAATGAAGACAGGCCAGGTTAGGTAGAGACAACTAAGATAGTGCTAAGAGGTAGCTGTAGAAGGAAAGAGAACTATGCAGGAGTAATAGTTGGGACCTTACTGCCAGTAGGGAAGCTTGGAGCAAGGAACCCTGAGCTCTAATGATAATCAGCTTGTGCAATTCATTATGTAATCTTAAAAATGTCACTTCTGAGCAAATATGTTTCTTATGAATGAGGATAATATCATCTGCCTTGTCTGTCACATTGGGTTGTATTTGGAATGAAGTCAGATAATTTCTCATAAAGGTACCCTGAAGGATAAATGCAAGGCATTATTAGTTCCTGGGAATAAGGGCAAAGTGACAACCACCAGGGAGAGGCTGACCTGTGCAGAATTGAGCTGCATATGGCACAGAACTCTCTTCTCCACATTCTCCCGAAAGCGGATCACATACAAAGACTCAGCCATTCGGTCCCCATCCAACACTTCACCCAGGGTAAGGCTTTTGTGACGAATCTTCTCAGGGCAACACACTGGAAGCTGGTAGTAGTGGTAAGTTTCCTGAGGGTTATGATAAGGTCCCACTTTGTTGACGTATAGAATGACAGGGTCGCCGATCTTGTAGTGTGTCACACCTTGCACCCCTGGCCCACGATCTGTGCCCAGCAGCAGTATCAGGATTGGCAACCACTGGCAGCTCCAACTTTGAGGGTACCTGAGGACTGTCATCCTTGAGGCAGAAGGACCTGTTTGGAGGAATCCTGCAGTTACAGAAACTGGGGATCAACTCGTGAGGGCCCTCGGATGAACGCCCACTGACTCCACTTCCATTAGCCTCCCGATCCCCCACACCTGCCACGTCTTTCTACCCAGAAAGGCCCAGTTCGGCCACTGCTATGCATTCCTCTCGAACCTGCGCTGGCTCTTCCCGCAGCCCGCCCACCCTAGGTCTCCACTGAGAGCGCACTAGCTTGTTTCCATGGAAACGCCGCGCGCTGGACTAGTTGCTAGGGTCTTTTTCTGCCACAGCTCTGGGGTCCTCACCCCGAGGGAAGAGCTGGCCAAGGCGGCGCCAGTAGCCTCCGACGCCCCTTAGCTGCCCGGGGGCTCCTGCCGGGGTCTCCCCCTGAGCGGCGCGGTGTAGCTGGACAGGGCCTGACGACCAGTCTCCACGGGGCTGTCCGTGGCTGCGCCTGACTGCGGTGGCTACGGCCACACCACAATGTCTATCGCCTATGGCTCAGGTCAGTATTTTCCAATGAGCTATCTAGAGCCAGGGGCCCCACCAAACTCCAGGAACCCCAAGGGGCTCGGCTTGCCGGTCCGCCACTGGGGGGCCTTCTGGCGATTGGGAAAGCAGCCTCCAGGACACGTCTGTCTTACCACTTCCGCCCTCATCAGCGGGGACCTCAACACGGCGGAAGTATTTTTTCCTGGAATTTAGAAAGGCCCTTGATGTTTGGGCCGCCGGGAGGTTTCGCAGGCCCCTTGCCCGAGAGGGGCCCTCCCGAGGTCTGACTGTGAGGCTGCAGACACCCGTTCTGGATAGGAGTCGCCCCCCGGCCGCACGCATGTCCGCAAGAAGGTATGCGGCTGGCGATCTCAAGCCGGCACCTCCCGCCTCAAGCTCAAGCGGGCAGAGGCCTGAGAGAGGTGCCTGCCGCACTTGCCCAGCCACGTTCGGGAGACAGCGCTGGCGGCTGCCGCGCGCCCAGTGAACGCCCCGAAGCGTGTGTCGTGGAACCAATAAGACTTGCTTTCGGCTGCAGAGGCGAACCCTAAAAGGTGGATCATGTCCCCAAGACGGGCAGGGGTGAGGCTTTACGCTCCTGTAAAAGATTTTATGGCCTCAATTTCATCTTCATACTCCCACCTGACACAAATAGACTCGCATCGAAAGAACAAGTACATAGGGGCTGGGGAATTTAGCTCAGCGGCATAAGCACCTGCCTTGCAAGCAAGCGGTCGTGAGTTCGATCCCCGGTACCGATAAAAATGAAAAAGACAAAAAAAAAAGTACATAAATAAAAATGCCTTTACTTACTGTAAGTGGTAGTCCATGTCTATAACCCCAGCTTCGCGGGAGGCTGAGGCAGGAGAATAGTAGGTTTGATGTCACATCTGGCAGTTTGGTGAAACTTTGTCACGAAATGAAAACTAGAGATATAGTACTAGGACATTTGCCTGACTAGCGCGAGGCCATCGGTTCAACCCCCAAGAACGGGTGGAGTTGGGGTGTGGGTGGCTAGAGTCTCTTCCGGAAGCTCCACCTGAGGATTCCAAGGGTTTTCAGGGTAAATTCAGAGCCGGGCAATAAGCACTTGGCAAAAAAAAAAAAAAAAAAAAAACACTTGGCAAGGGGTTAAGTATAGAGGCTAGAAGGGATGGATAGTAGACCTTTCACTTCGCAAGTTGATTGGCTTAACAGAGTTATTGTTAATTGGAGGTGAAGAATCTTACCATCCTTTTTTTTTCTGCGCTTTTGTTCTTATGTGTCTGCGGATGCCTGTGGCATTTTGAAAAAGATTACTCTTGTCTGATTTATTTTTTTTTTTAACGGTGTGAAAAGTTTCTTTGAGGGGCTGGGGATTTAGCTCAGCAGCATAAAGCGCCTGCCTTGCAAGTATGCAGTCGTGAGTTTGATTCCTGGTACCGATTAAAGAAAAAAAAAATTATTTGAAAAGTGAGTGGCGAAGGGGTAATGGGAGGAACCAGCTCTGCAGAGTGAACCTGGGCAAAACAAAATAAAAAGCAAAAATAAAAGTATGTGCTGCGTCTGGGAAGTACAGATTGGCTTCCCATGGGAAGTCATAATAGCGATCTTAGTTATTTTAAACTGGATCTTCCCTCAGACCTGCCAACAGTGACATGTAAGGAAGCTGATTCAAGATTCTCTCCCAGAGAAAAGATTTGTGGAAAATCACAAGTGATTTCTGGCTTGAAAATACTTCTATTTACTAACTTCTATGATTATGTCCCTTTCTTGCTCAGCCATTCTCACCATAGACAGGGAACGTACAGGAAGTAAGGGTTGAGTTTGTTTTTGGAGGCGGGGGTGGGGGGGTGTAAGCTGGGATCAAACTCATGACCTCACACTGGCCAAGCAGACTCTTGTGCTGCTGAGCTAAACCCCCAGCACGGGCTTGAGGTTTTTTTGTATTTTTTAGATAGGGTTTCACTGTGAAGTTGAGGCTAGTCTCAAACTCCCAAGGATCCTCCTGTCTCAGCCTCCCAAATGCTAGGATTACCAGTGGGTGCCACCACACTGGGCACAGTGTTGAGTTTTTCACACAATGGTTTCCTTCTTCTCCTCTCCTTCCCTCTCCTTTTTCCTTCTTCCTTTCCCTCCTCTTCCTCCTTCTCTCCCTCCATCTCACCTCCTCTTTTTTTCTTCCTCTCTCTCTTGTGGTAGAGATCAGGCTATACATTTGCCCCAGCCTCCTAAATACCTAGGAGTACAGTGTGAGCCACTGCAATAGGCCCAACAATCAGTAGTTTTTTTTGTTTGTTTCTGTCTTTTTGAGATGGTCTCACTGGCAGTTCAGCTGGCCTTGAGCTTACTTTGTAGCCCAGGCTGGTCTTGAACTGGCAATGATCCTCCTGCCTCAGTCTCCCCGGTACTGGGATCAGTAATTTTTATAATTAGAAAAGTAACATTAGGGCTGGGGATTTAGCTCAGTGGCATAAGCACCTGCCTTGCAAGCATGCAGTCCTGAGTTCAATCCTGGTACCAAAAAAAAAAAAGTAACATTGGATTTCCCACAATATGTAACTGACAACTTCCTGATTTCTAAAACCAGAAACTGTTGTGGGAAAAATTTAAACAGCAGTAACCAGGAGCTCAGGAGAAGAAAGGAAATTTTATTGACACTAGCAGTCCCCAGAGGAGTAATCTCCAAAGTCAGGTGGTGATAACAGAGAGCTTGTCGTATTTATAGGGTAATAAACAAGTTACAGGAATGAGATAAGCTTTTACTGAAGGTTATGGTACAATGGGTATCCTGTGCAATGAGCATAGTTGTGTGTAGCTAAGTTGTTTGTGGCACATGCACAGGAAGTTTCAGTCTGATGACAAATCATGATTTGAGTTCAGTGAAGAGAACAGAATGACTGCAGCTTTACTTAACAAAATGTCTGCAGTTAGATGACCATTTTTTTAAATTTTATAATAAAACGAAATAATATAAAATGAAACCAACACAATGAGAATGATACTAGATTTCAAAAACAAGACAGTAGGATATCGACAATAGTTACTATATTATAAAAACAATAGTTTCTATATTGTCCCTTAAATAGTTGCTCAGACTACCAGGGCTGGAGATTTAGCTCAGCGGCATAAGTGCCTGCCTTGCAAGCAGGCAGTCGTGAGTTCAATTCCTGGTACTGATAAAAAGACAAAAAAAAAAAAAAAAAAAAAAAGAGTTGCTCAGACTACCAGATATAGGTATGCAAAGTTAATCAAAGAATATAAGCACTAAGTTGCTTCTTTACTTTAGTTGCTATCTGAACAAGTCTTCTGGACTTGTTCTGAGTGGGCTGCAGGGCCGAGATTGCACCTTTCTTGTTTATCTTGACATTTTCCTGTTTTCCTCCAAATCAGCTGGTTGCTGAGCCTGAAGCCTGCACTGATTGCTTATTCCATGGTGCAGGGAATTGGGCTATGCACCTGGGTTTCTCGGATCCAAGGTTTCTGGGGTGGCCGAGAGATGTGGACCAGTGGCTCACTAATGCTTCCCCAATGATGGCAGGGCCTTGGGACATAGCTTTTTCTTCTCCTGGCCGCAGTGGCGGGCTCCAAAACCACAACTTCTTAATGCCTTATTTTCAAATATTGGTATCACCAAGCTCCCTCCATTATTTCCTGTCTTCCAGGGTTTTTTGCCCTACAACATTTCCTTGGCAAAGGGCCCATCCTGTCATCTTGACTACCCATGATAGCTATCTGGGCAGATACCTGGTAACTATCCACTTGTTTTTTGTGTGGTTTGGTTTGGTTTTTTGAGGCAGGGTCTTGGTTGGTAATTCAGGCTGGCCTTGAAGTCACTATGTAGGCCATGCTGTTCTTGAACTTGCAACAATCCTCCTGCCTCAGCCTCCTGAATGCCGGAATTACAGGTATGCCCCATCACACACAGTCCTCTTTAGAATCATATGCTGCATTCAAATTGAAATCTAGATGTTGTATTCGCTAAAGCTTGCAAGCCTCATGTTATTCTTCCTTAGACTGCCAGATCTACCACTGCCAATGTAATTGCCTGGGAAACTTTTTTGGAACACTGAAATACTTTGCCATGAGTTCCAGGCCAGGCTGGGCTACACAGTGAATTGAAGGCCAGCCTGATCTGCATAGTGAAATCCTGTATCAAAAAGAAAAAAAAAAAAACAAACCCCAAAACAAGTTGTAGAGAATTGAAAGGTGCTGATTTGGAAAATGAACAGAATCATTAGGCAGCATACAGGGCCCAAGTAAAGTTGGAAAAGAAAGAACAACTTAACAGCGACATAGCATTGAGATTCTCTTAGCATCTTGGCTGTAGGTACTTTAACACTCATGGATGATGTAACACAAGGTAAGAATTTTTTTAAAATTTTTATTTAAACAAAACAAAGACTAAATTTTTATTTAAACAAAACAAAGACAAAACAAAACAAATAATACATTCAGAGAAAAAAATAAACTAATAAATCACTACTTGATGTTTACATATTGTCATTTTACAAATAGTGTTTAAGGTACAAAAATGGAACATGTAAAGTGGGAATTCAAACAGAGAGACTGAAAAAAGTTCTAATCAACTGTCCAACAAAAACTTAGTAACATGGTTGTCAATCCTATACACTTAAACATACATGCAGTTATCCATAGCTTCATTTATGTTTAGATTAAACAAACTAAAGTAGGTTAAAATCATTCTGAACAAAGAATAATAGTATTGCTGGATTTCACATCATGACACTGATCAGCACTGGGTACTGTAGTGTCTTTTTAATTTAAAGAAAGACTAAATGAAACAGAAAACGGGTAGAAAAAATACATAGTTTCAAAGAAAAATAAACAGTAAGAAATCACTAGTTGATGATTACAGATTGTCATCTTACAAATAGTTATTCAAGGGGTTGGGGATTTAGCTCAGCGCTATAAGCACCTGCCTGGCAAGTGCGAGGTCATGAGTTCAATCCCCAGTACCCCCCCCATATATATATATATATATATATATATATATTCAAGACACTAAAGTGAAGCATATAAAGTAGGGATTCAAACAGTGACATAGCAACCAGTTCTGTTCAACTATCCAACAAAAACTTAGAGATATGGTTATCAATCCTATACACTTAAACATGCATGCAGTTACCCATATCTTCAATTATGTTGAGACTGAATAAACACAAGCAGGCTAATATCACTCTGAACAAAGAATAATACTATTGTTGGGTTTCACATTATGACACTCCAGGATCAGCACTGGGTATTTTAGTGTCTCTTTTTCAAAGTATCTGTTCATTTCATCATGATCAGTTCTCATGAACTGTTTATAGATTCTACACATGCATGAGTCTTAACATGTATTTCTATTCTTTCTATATTGGAGAAACAAAGCAAAGCAAGGCAAAACAAAACATTCCTATAAACGCATGAAACAAACATATAAGACAGTTGTATAAAGAGTTCTACCATGGTTCCTGTGTTGTCTCTTATTATCTCCAATAGAATTGGCTCTATCATCAAACATAGTATAATTGAATATATCAGTACATAACAGTATTAATAAAAACACAACTTTGTATATAGTATAGAACTTCAAAAACCAGCAGTTGTCAAACCAGAACGTGTATTGTAGAGTCTTGTCATCTTCAGTGTAGTTGCCTATACTCTCGTACTTGATACTATGAATGATATGTTTTGAATAACATATTCTGCCTCATTTCTGTTATGCTCTTTTTTTGCCAACAGTTGTCTGCTTATCTTCTTCATTCTGTTTTCTGCTCCATTCATTGAAGCCTCTCTGCCACTGTTCCTGGAATCCTGGTACTTTTCTCTCTCTCTAGAATGCCCTGCAGTATTCTCTGTAGAGTTGGATTGGTGGTTGCAAATTTCCCAAGTTCCTCTTTGTCTTGGAAGCATCTTGTTTCTCCATTAATTTCTTTCTTTTTTTTTTTTTTTTTGTCTTTTTTGTTTTTATCGGTACCAGGGATCGAACTCACAACTGCCTGCTTGCAAGGCAGGCACTTATGCCGCTGAGCTAAATCCCCAGCCCCCTCTCCATTAATTTTTAGAGACAGTTTTATCAGGGTATATCAATCTGGGATGGAGGTTATTTTCTTTCAGGGCTTGGAATATTTTGCTCCAGGCTCTTCTTGACTTGATGGTTTGTGTCGAGAAGTCTGCTGTTATTCAGATGGGCCTTCCTCTGTAGGTTATCTGTTTCTTGTCTCTAACAGCTTTTGATAATTCGGTTCTTATATTGAATTTCTGGGATCTTTATATGCCTGGGTGTAGCTCTGTTTTGGTTGTAGATGGCTGAAGTTCTGTATGCCTCATATATCAGTATATCATTTCCTTTTCCTATGTTTGGGAACTTTTCCTTAATTATTTTCTGTGAATAACCTTTGTAGTTCCATTGTTTGTATCTTCATTCACATTCTTTATTCTCAAATTATAGATCCTTTCGTTATCTTCCAGCCTTTGTATTGTTACTGCTTATTTCCTTGTTATTTTTAAAAAGTGTTCCCTTTCATACTCCCACATTGCAAAATTGTCCTCCAGTTTGGATAATCTATCCTTAGTTTCTTTCAAGCTGATTTGCCATCTTTCCATAGAGCTTTTAATTTCCTGATGATCTCTTTGAATCTGCTTCATGTATTCTATATATTTTTTATATTCATCACCAAATGGTTCTCTCCTTTGTTTGAGTTCCTCCCTTCTGACATCTGTGTCTGCTTGAGGGGTGCTTAGTATCTCTTTTATTAATTTTCTTATATCTTGCTTTATTTGGCTAAATATTTCACTTTTGTACTCATCTATGAGGTTCCGAATATGTCTCTTTAGGTCCACGGGCACTGTGTCTGATATTGCCTTTTTGCTGTTCTCATTCTCCTTTGTATTTACCTGTCCTGGGTCAATGTTCTTAGGGTTGGGGCTTGGGGACTTTTTGTTGTTACTTCCTCTTCTCATCTTTTTTGCTTCTGGGAGGCCCCAGTTTCTTTCTTTGTTGGTTACAATTCTTCTGAACATACTGGCTAGATGACCCTTCACACTGCCGTGTGCTAGTGAGTTGCAGACAGGGACAGCATATGCTGGCCCCTCCCCTCCAGATCAGTAAAATTGCTGTGACCTGCACTACTGTATTGCTTTGTGCTGCCTCCCTTCCAGAGCAGCCAAAGCTTCGAGGCCCCACTGGGCCAGTGTAGTTAGTGTGCGCCACCACTGCAGGGACTTGACTTTGGATAACCTATTGGGTCTCGGGGCTGGGGATTTAGCCCAGCGACATAAGCGCCTGCCTTGCAAGCAGACAGTCGTGAGTTCGATCCCCGGTACCGATAAAAAAAGAAAAAGACAAAAAAAAAAAGAAAAAAAGAAAAAAAAGAAATACCTATTGGGTCTCAGCCTGGTCATGTGACCCAGGCCTAGCTCACTCCACCAATCCCATTTGGGAAGGAAACAATTGACTGAAGTTACTGCTGCCCCTTGTACTTGCCAGTCCTGCCCAGTCCCAGAATGTCCTCTGCTGGAGCCCCCGTTTCTGTGAAATGGCTCCACTCTTGTCACTCACCACAGGTTGATATAGGCACCCTGCCAACTAAGCCCTCCATTGGGCTTGCTGACTCCCGAACTCAGTGTAACTGTGCCTCCAGTGATAGAAGCGGCGGGACCTGGGACAGCTTGGCAAGTCGCAGCCGGACCCCAGCAAGTCACAGTGGGACCTCAGCCAATCGTGGCGGGACCTCAGATGGTTGGAAAGTCACCTTAATTTCTTCTTGGGACGAGAGAATTCATCTCCCTCTGTTCGGGGCTCCCCACTCTGTATTATGTTGAATTCTAAGTTGACTATCAAGGTTAGAATTTTTATAGCACTGCCACAAAACTGGAAGAGGAGGGCAAGAACATTTGTAAGCATGGTGGCGCATGCCTGGTAGTATGGGCACTCAGCAGGCTGAGGCAGGAGGATCACCATGAGTTTGAGGCAGCCTGAGCTAATGGTCGTACAAGACCATCCTGAACAACGTATTGAGAACCTATGTCTTTTTTTGTTTGTTTGTTTTTTTCCTTTTTATCGGTACCAGGGATTGAACTCACGACTGCCTGCTTGCAAGGCAAGTGCTTACGCCGCTGAGCTAAATCTCCAGCCCCCGAGAACCTATGTCTTAAAAACACAAAAAGACAACTAGAGTAGAAATTGTAAAAGGGAAACATGAGAGTGAAAATGAGGAGTTTGATTTTGAACACAGTGAGTTTGAGGTGGCTGGGACAATATGTCTGTGTGATGTAAGCCAGGGGACACTGAATCTGGAACTCCAGATGGGCATCTGTGGTAGAGATGAGACCAGGAGCAGGGAACACAAATGTAGTAAATGAAACCTAGTGAGTGGATGAAATCCTTAAGGAAAAATGTGATATTGCAGAATTTCCAAGAAACTCGAGAACCAGAAAGTATTTTTCAGGAGGACTTTAATGTGCACTGTCCCAACCATTAGAAATGCTTAGAACTAGGCTGGGTCTTTAACCCTATCTTAGCCTTGAAAGAAAACATATGCTGTGCATCTCAGGATGTTTGGATTCTGTGAAGCTTGTTTATAATGCCACTCATTGGTTTTATCAGTGTTGGTACCCAGTATTGCTCCTATATGAGGAGATTCCCATGAGAGAATTGCCTAAATCTCTCCCTATCACTGAGAAAAGCCTAAAACCTAGTGAGAAAGTACAAGTCCACATTGCTGAGGGAGGTGTTTCCCTAGGAGTTGCTCACTTTCACTGGGAGCTCTGTAAATAGCTCTGAGTTTTGCGTTAGTAAGAAAATCTGGACACAGATAAAACCCACTTTACAATTAAAGTATAGATGGAGGTGGGTGGGGATGTGGCTTAGTGGTACAGTATTTCCTATGCAAGGACTTGGCTCAAACCGAAAGAATATTTTTAAAAAATAGGATATACAGAGAGATTCAACTTCAGTGGAGGACTAACTGGAGTGCTGAAGAAAATACAAAAATTCAGTGACACAGAAAGCCAGAATGCATGTGAAAGTTAACTTACTAGAATATGCTCTAATACCTTGCATTTTCTTTAATACTTTTTAAAGTTTTGCTTTTTTGTTGCTCAGCAAAAATATACCCGCATGTACAGGTTTCAGTTGATAGCTGACTCCAACACAGGGCAGCATGGCAGAAGAGCATGGCAGAGGAAACACAGTTCTTGGCAAGGCAGGCAGGAAGCAGGCATCATCCTTTTTTTTTTTTTTCTGGTACCGGGGATCGAACTCACGACCGCCTGCTTGCAAGGCAGGTGCTTATGCCGCTGAGCTAAATCTCCAGCCCCATCCTCTTTTTTTTTTTTTTTTTAAATCCCATCCAGGCTATAAGCTTTGGGTGATACCACCCACATACAGAGTGGGCCTTCCCATTAGCCACACTCAGAACCAGTTAAACACTAATCCAGTATATCACAAGTTTACTCTCAATCTCACACCCTAGAGGCAAACACCTCTGACAATATCATCAATGAACCTATGAGGGATTTGGAGGGACATCTAGACACAAGCTAAAACACACTTGTGATTTCATACTGGATTATAAAGTCTAGGATCAAAAAAAAATCTAGGATCATAGGTCTCTTGACCTTACAGTTTTACTGTATCCTAGTATTTATACATTGTACAGACCTGCAAAGCATTCAGTCAAATCAGTAAATAAAGAAGATCCACAGTAACATCTCACCACATTGCAGAACATTCCTCTGGGAAGGAGGATTTTTCCAAACTGCACTTCATGCTCACACTTGGTGATGATTTGTAGGTGAGATGGGGATTGTGATGTGTGTGGAATTTGAGACCTTGTGGAGTTCCATATCCAAGGGGAAGAAGTAACAACAGCCAGTGGAGACAGAAAGAAAGGCTTCTCTTATTTGCTCCTTCAAACTCTTAGTGGGGCTCAGCCCAGCATCCAGCCTTGTGTGACTGTACAGCCAAGCACCTGGACACTAACTTCACTGTGGTACCCTAGCTTTCTGTGGCCCAAGGCATTGTCCTCTCAGGACACAGGCTCCTAAGCAGCAGAGCACACCTCTGTTGACAAGCCTGATGCTATGGGGAAGGGAGACAGCCTAGAGGCAGTGCCAAATGCCACTTCAAATCGCTCTGTCCTGGAAGAGTACAATTATAAGGTGGGCAAGGTCATTGGCACTGGCTCCTATGGGACCGTCTATGAGGCTTACCACACAAAGCAGAAGGTCATGGTGGCTATCAAGATCATCTCTAAGAAGAAGGCCTCTGACGACTACCTTAACAAGTTCCTGCCCCGAGAGTTACAGGTCAGTAGTGAGGATGGAGGGGAATTGCAGTTCAGTACTGGGACACTTGAGGATTCTCAGAACGGTATGGTTGGGTCTGTGAAGCCAAAAGCCTTACACCAGAACTGAACATCTCTCTAGGCAGACATATTTCCTTAGTATATTTTCAACCCATTTCTCACACAGACATGCAGCTCCAGCCCCCTAAAAGAATAAATAGGGTTTGGCCACTGGCCCCCCACACTTAGAAGAGGAGGGGCCGATTCTGTTGCAAAGTTTGAAGAAAATAACAGTGGGAAGACACTGGAGGGCTAGGAGTACAGCCAGGGTTCTCCTTTCCCAGGTTTGATGGTTGCCTCTTCTGGGGTCAGGTAATGAAAATCTTGCGGCACAAGTACCTCATCAGCTTCTATCAGGCCATTGAGACCACATCTCGAGTGTACATCATTTTGGAGCTGGCTCAGGGTGGTGACGTCCTTGAATGGATCCAGCGCTATGGGGCCTGCTCTGAGCCCCTTGCTGGCAAGTGGTTCTCCCAGATGACCCTGGGCATGGCCTACCTGCACAGCAAGGGCATCGTGCACCGGTGAGGGCGTGACTACCCAGACTGGGGTCCTGGGGCCTTCAAAGGGGGTTATACACACTGCAATTTCTGTCCTCTTGTCTTCCTTCTCTTGATTTCCCTGTTCCAGGTGGAGGCTCATTTATCTACTCCAGTTGAAACCATCTCATTCAGGACACTTGTAAATACACTCTGAGTGCAGTGAACAAGTAGTTCACTAGCATCATATCTCCACTTTGACTCTGCACTTAGTTCCATGACTCTTTCACTTATGCTGTCATAATAGGATCTCTCTTGTACTTTGCCTTTTCTCACTTCTAGCCACTGATTCCAGGCCCTACACTGCCTGGTCTCACAGTAAGCATTCTCAACCTGATCATCACCTTTTCTGCTACTGGCAGGGATTTAAAGCTGGAAAACCTGTTGCTGGACAAGCAGGAGAATGTGAAGATTTCAGACTTTGGCTTCGCCAAGATGGTGTCTTCTACGCAGACTGGCCAGAGCGATGGCCACCGAGGGAGTATCTTTTCCCACCTCAGTCAGACCTACTGTGGAAGCTTTGCTTATTCCTGTCCGGAGATCTTACGAGGCTTGCCCTACAATCCTTTCCTGTCTGACACCTGGAGCATGGGTGTCATCCTCTACACTCTAATGGTGGCTCATCTGCCCTTTGATGACACCAATCTCAAGAAGCTGCTCAGAGGGACTCAGAAGGAGGTCACTTTCCCGCCTAACTATGCCATCTCCCAAGAGTGCAAGGTGCTGGCTCTCTGAGGAGGGCAGAATCTTAGGGATGATCTACCTAGGCTTCTGGTCCCCAGGGGAAGGCTCCTCCAACAATGTCCAAGCCATCTCATACTGTAGCCCTTTTCCTGCAGGAGTGGGGAGGGCTTCCTGCCAATTCCTGGTCTTTACACCTTACATATGATTGATCAACATGTTTCAGCTTCTGTCCCTTTAGGCCAGAAGGGGTTTATGCAAGGGATTGCCCTCCTGGGCAATCTTCTTCTCTTGCAGGGAATGCCTTGCTCTTCCTCAAGCATAAAACCAGGCCTATACTCCCTCTCAGCAGAGTGGTGTGAGGGTGTCCTGCTTGATTTGTAGGCCTAGGGCTCAGTGCCTATGTGACATAACAAGGGCAAACTCAGTCAAGACCTCTTTCTCCTCTGCCCTAGAACCTGATCCTCCAGATGCTATGCCAAGCTGCCAAGCGTGCCACCATGCTGGACATCATAAGGGACCCCTGGGTGCTCAAATTTCAGCCTGAGGCACTCAGCTATGAGATGAAACTCCTTGAGGTCATGCAACAGGCTCCCAACACCACAAATCCTCTGATTCCTCCACAAACCGTGGAATGAGCTACAAGTGGTTGAGGCAAGGGGCTGAGAGGATCAAAGCAGAGTTTGGGCTGACAAATCTTTGACAACCAAAATAAATCCAATTTTCACATGCTTTTATCAGATAGGGTCAATGATATTGTTTCCTAAAGGAAATCAGTGGAAAATTCTAGGGTCATAGGTGGATTTCTGCTCTGAGTTTGTACCCAGTAATCTTAGCATCTGTTCAGGCAAGTTGGTAGTTCAAGTGCATTCAACACCTGGTTTTGGATTTTACAAACTCTACTTACATAAATCTCATTTTAAAGCCTTTGTTCTCTAATGTACAGTGAGTGGGTGGGCTGACACTCTGGTGGTTTCATTCTGACTATGGTTCTATTTTCCATAGTCCAAAGTGATGGCATCAGCTGGTCTTCACAATGACTGCCAGGGTGTATTTAGTGCCTTGGTTCCTTCTCACTCCTTCATGTTAGTGTCAAGTTAATCTTTTTGGAAATAATGTGGGAGTCAGGTCCTACACCACTAGTTTCCTACATAGAAGTCACAGAGATCTAACCAAGGCTTTTAGTGGTAAAGGCAATCAAGAATGGTTTCTGGATAAAGCCCAGCTACCTGCCCTGCCCCTGAAAGTGTTTTCTCCCTACCCCTGAAAGTGTACTTTGCAAGAAGGAAAACAGATAGTAAACCAAGGGCTGTCTTGAGAGAGGCAGGACTAAAGGAGCACCATGAGGAAGACTCAGAGATGGCTCCACAGAGAAGTAAGGATGGCTGTTGCCTCGAGCTTAGTACAGGCAAGGTGAAAGGTGCGCAGGCTGAAATACTGTAAAAACTATTTGTTGCTATGTTCCAACCCCATTCCATTAGTCTCATTGTTATTCAAGGCTTGAAAGAAGGCTCAAAGAACAGGTCGAAGAAAATACTAAAAAATAAAAGATGTAAGTCTTAGATGTGGAAAAAACAGTACAGACATGTGGGATGCATCTACCCAGTTTTACTGGGAAGAAGGCACTCAGGGGAGCCTTCTACAGCATGATCCTTTAACTTCAGAGTTTTGTCAGATAGAGGAGGGTAAGATGCCCTTTGCTCAGACAGCGTCAAGGCACCACTTCAGGAAACACTCAAAACAGCTCTGCTTCAGTAGCCCAGCACCAGCACTGGAGGCAAAGAGACCAGTGCAGGCAGCCTTAGGAACAGAAGCTCAGACTCCTGAGGATGCCATTCAGCCACCTGCTTTAGTTTTTCTTGGTCTTTACCTGCTTTGGGAGCTTTGGGGAGAGGACAGCCAGAGAACAAAGACATGTTAGAGCCTCAGCACTTTCCCGGTATGCCCTGCTCTGACCCCTAGAGGATGCTTGGATTATCTCTGCAGCAAATGACCTAAAGGTGTGGTCTTCTGCTTGCTGGTTGTTCATTCCCACTGCACCTTTATGCAAATTAGGTCCCTCTAGTTAATAGCTTCTGGGGCCCTAAAGCAGGCTGTGCAGCTTGCTGTGTGCAGCGCAGGCTGGAATCTGATTTCTGCCACCCTCCCTTTAGTCCAAACCAGTATGCAGTCAACAATCTGCACGACTACAGCAGTAGCCTTCTACTGGGACCTTCTCTAATGTGCAATGAAGAATCATTCTACCCCAAATCTCTCCAGGTTCACACAAGTGCTGAAGACAATGCATAGCCCTGGGTACTGGGCCCTGCAGACAGATGAATAGAAGGTACACTGGGCAATTGGACAGGGGGTGGTTCTTCCTTGTCTCCACATTGAACAACTCCCAGGCCAATTCCTCCTGATACAGCCTCTGTAATTCTCCCAAAAATTCATCCTAGATATAGGATGACAAACCTGATAAGACTGGACATGTCCAGTTCCAAACATAACACCTTTGCAGTTTCTTCCCCAACCTGTGCCAAGAGCCTCTCCAGGACATTCCTTCTGGCCAGTCCCACACTTTCTCCAGTGTTCTGTGAGCACTTGCCGTAGGCACCTCAGTATCATCTCCAAAGCCCAGAGGCTGAGAAACAGCATCTGAGATTTGCTGGGCCATGTTGTGTTGTTCTGAGATGTCAGCCATCAGTTCATCTGCCTTGTCAATGTCCTGAAAATAAGACATATAGCCAAGAAATTAAGCAGCCACTTACATGAGTAAAGCTTGCCCTGACTGTGGCCTACCAGTGAGAAGCCCAGGTCAGCAAAAGGGGAAGAGGTAAGTCTGGGCTGAGAAATAGAAGTCACACTGGACAAGAGAGTCTGCATTCTTTCTGCTGAAGGCTGTTCAAGAACTAGAGAAAGCACCTTTACTTCTTAGAATGCCCCAGTAAGCAAAAGGAGCTTGGTTTCAGAGCCAGGAGGGAAGCAGAGGCCTGGTCATCTTAAGTATGATGTAATTCACATTCAGAGGCTTTAAGCTTCAAAGCATAATCAATCCTAAGCCACCCTGCCCAGTGCCTGGTTCCTTTTTATCACTTCCTCATCCACCAAAGCACATGTCCTGGTAGGCTGGCTTTCTTCATGTGTTAGGCTGCAAGTTCCCTCCATGTTATGAAGCACTTCCATATTGGTGCTTCACATTTTGAATGGCCTCACTGAAACTCCAGGTTGAATACTGTTTCATGGGTCTATGCCAGTTGTTGTTCCAGTCTTTTCTTTCTTTGCAAGCCTCCAGGGTGGCTGACCCAACCAACACCCTGATCTGAACATTTGAGTCAGAGCACCTGCTTCAATTCTGGAAGCACTGGCTGTCCAATTTGCCTTGCTACTCTCTAAATGTCTTCCCACTCTAGACCTGAGCTTCAAGAGCCATCCCTATGCTTTGGTTAGCACACAGTAAGCATCCATGGTGTTTAGGGAAAGGGCTGGTGGAGGCAGCTGGAAACCAGTTCTCCAGCCTGTGCAGTGGAACCAGCAATTCTCATTCTCTCTAGTCTGTGTGCTGTGGGCCCCAAGCTCAGTCAGGTCGGAAAGTACGGCAATAGGGACAAGGCACCCTTACAATGTGGCAAGAGGAGGCATTCTGGCTGGAACAGTGAACCTTAGTCCTGCTGAGGGCCAACTTCACCTCTCCCTCTTCCCGCTGCATAGGTCTCCCCTCCTCTGCTTGGCCAGTACCTCCTGGCAGCCTGGGTCACCTGGGCTTACCCCTCCTGAAGTCAACTGAAGTCACTCATGGGTGACCTGGACCTGGGCTCTTATGCGTCTGCACTGGGCTGGCACCCCACACCTCCTCCTTGCTCCAGGAAGGTGGCTCTCAGAGCTCAGGGTCTGGGCCTGTGCCTCCTTTGCATGTCACTTTTAAGGTGACATCATTGTCAACTGCAGAGAAACCACTGCTGTTACTGCCCGCAGCCCAGGCTGGGCCAGAAGTGCTCCTCTTAAATGGGCCACTTCATTCCTACTACCTCAAAGATCGTCCCTACAACCAAACTGTCTTTACTCCCTAAAAAGAAGTGTGCCTTGGGAATGTACCACTAATCATGCAGTGAGAGACTTCATGTCCTCTGCATCTCAGCCTGCATCACCGGTGTAGAATGCAGCACTCTAGGGTGACCCACAATCAGGACCCCTCCTGTCTCCCAGGAGCTATCTCTCTCAATAAAAATGTACTTACTCTAAAAGTCTCACACCCTAGTCGGGGCATCTCAGGACAACCACCTCATTCACAACAGACACAGAAACAATCCACACTGTAGATAAGCTCTTTTCTGACACACACAGGTACAGCACTGGAGAGGATGAGGCAGGAGGACCACCAGGAGATTGAAGTGAACCTGGGCTACAAAATGAGTCCAAGGCCAGTCTGAACTGCATAATGAAACCATGTCTCAAAGACCAAAAAGACAAAACAATACAGAACACTAAAAAGTACTGGGGATGGCCAGTACAAATATTTGCAAACTTCCATTTCTGTGTTTAAAATTTTTATTAGTACATAGTGGTAGTTTATAATCATTATATTCACTGTATGGAATTGGCACATATAGAAAAGACATCTTAATTTTCTCTTCCACCCCTTTCTAGTTCTCACTCTCTTGGTTCCTGCACCTTTTTTTTTGTTTGTTTGTTTCGGGGGCAATTTTGGGACTAACATAGCTACATCCCTAGACCTTTTTATATTGTAGGTCTTGTTAAATTGCCAAAGCTGACCTGAAACCTGAGATCTTCCTTTCTCAGTCTTCCAAGTAGCTGGGAGGCCTGCACCAGTTGCACGATGTATCTCCTAAATTTCTGCATACAGGTGTTACATGAAGTCTCTGCGTGCATTCATCTTCAGTGTTAGCAGCAATCGTTAATAGCTGCTCTGCTTACCGTGAAGCGGCCGCGACGGGCACCCCAAGGCCTTGCAATCGGTCCAGAACAGCAGGCACCTCCAGGTACAGCCTGACACTCTGACCTCGACTATCTCGTATAGCTCCATCGCTGCAGAGGGCGAGGGAAGTCTCAGTCCCGGCCGGCCGGGCGCCACCCGGCCCCGGTCCTCCCTATCCCTGCCTCACCTGCTCCGGTGGAACGGAGGGTCTACGTGTGTGTCCACCCAGAAAGGCCAGAGCGTGTAATCTGCGGAGGAAGGAGGGAAGGTTCGGTCTTGGGGGCGCAGGGGCTGTGCTGCCGCGGGGGAGAGGTTCGGGAAAGCGCCCTATCAGACCCCTGGCTCGTCCCTTACCCAGATCAAAAACTGCGAACTTTGGGAGCTTGGCCATCACATGCCTCCAGGGCGCGAGCCAGCTGGCGCTCACCCATTAGCCTAAGCACAGTACAGTTGCAGACCGGCCGCGGGGCCCGCAGGTCGACCACTGAGTAACGACTGCTAGAGCGTCGCCACGCCAGGCTCAGGAGCCTGCTGTGCAGCAGTGCCAGAGCGCCTCCTGGCGCTGGGCGAGAAGGTTCCAAGACCACTGCACAAGGGACCAGATTTCCTAAGGGTCCAGGGTTCCCTGGGAGAGGATTCATGTGTCTTCTCTTCTTTAGCCTACTTCGCTTTCAGTGTTGCTAGAGAAGCCAAGTACTGGACACTTTCTTTTGCCTCTTATTCTTGTGCTGTGGTTTGAGCCCTGGGCCCTTGCACTGAGGCCGTGTCATACTTTTTTTTTTTTTTTTAAAGAACCTTTTGCTAAAGTGGTCAACTGTCCAGGCTAAACTTGAAATTGGGATCCTCTTGCCTCAGCTGGGTAGTGATGAGATTACAGGTGTGGGCTAGCACTTCCAGTTTAAGGCCAACCTCTTGTATGTGTATCACTTTATCTTGCTAATTAAGAGATGATCCCTTCCTAGCTTACTACTGTTTCCACTTTCTTCCACATCAGCATCTTGAGAATGTAAAATGCAGCGCTCTCAGCAATATTCCATCCCTAAAGTGTAGTGTCTGCATCCACATGCAGTATTCCCTGCCTGTAGGTTGAGCTACTCCGAAGTCTGAGGCAGAAGGGTCCCTTGTATCTAGAAGTTCGTTGGTAACCATTTTGGGCAACTGAGACCCTATCTCAAACAACGCATAAAATCTGCCCTCCTCCCTAAAAAATGTCTGTAGGCAAGCCCCTCAAGCCTTCTTCATCAAAGCACACTTGTCTAACAAAGGTACATAGGAGAATGTATTATGGTTTCTCTTGTCCTTAATGATTATTTTTGGGCACTCAATTTGAAGTGGCATAGAGAAAATGAGAGACAGGGAGACAAAAGGGAGGGCCTTTCACGCAGCCATGGAAGAGCTTCTTGGGGCTGGCGGTATAGAGGCTCTTAAAGGAGAACAAAGAAATAGGACTACTTTTCAGTTCTGGCTGGGGGAGCTGGGAGGTGGACAAAATGACTTATTAACCACTAATTTGAAGGAGCATCTGCCTGTGTAAAACAGGAGACATTTACTAGGGGCTGGAGGTAGAGGGGCTGGGTGGTTGGGAGTCTTGGGATTGGAAAGGGCTTCAACCGCAAAAAGGGAGTGGGAGATTTAACTCTGGAATAAGAATTTACAAATTACCCTTGGAGAGATAAACTGTTTCTCTGTGTCTGGTTCCAAGTTGGGAGGATGTAGCTAAAACCCAGGCTGGCAGAACCTATCAGTGCTAAGTTGCTAGATGCATCATGACCAGATGGAAGAGGGAGTCTGATTCCTAGTGTTTCTCATTTCCTGTAATACCTACCATGGCTGATTTCAAGCTACCAACACAGTAACATGGAGTCAGGAAGAGGTGCTAATAATTTGCTCTCAGGATCCAGGGAGAGGTGGCCCCAGCATCTTGGCTGGAGTCTGCTAATCTGTCTCTGAGCCCCAGGCCTTCTGCTGGCCTACTTCTTCCAACTGGTGTAACTGGTTAGCACTGGGCCCAATTTTATTTCAGTTATCTTTGTGCAACAGAAGGGAGATTTCAGCAGGCTGGGAAATATTTTATTGACAACCGGGACACAGCCGTAAGACAGGGAAGCACACAGGACTGCAAATTAAAACCCAATAGCCAGCAAAGTGCCTTTTGGGCCAGGAACACTGCATCCTGAGATCCTCGCAGTCTCTCACCAGTAGACACACAAGACTGGGCATCCAAGACAGGGGGCAATGGCTTGGGTGTCCCAGCCAGTGTGAGAATATATGCTTCACTATGAGCAAAGGGCAAGGAGGTAAAGTGGAGGGATGACTTCTCATTGCCTGAGACCACCTCCTCCTCTCAGAGCCAACACCAGGTGGAGGACAGAACCACCCAGAATCTTGTAATCAGCTGCTGTCTTCTCATCATTCCTGCAGTGAGGGAAAAGGCATTAGAAATATTGTCTAGAGTAGGGATGGTTTTTTTTGTTTTTTTTGTCTTTTTTGAGATAAGGTCTCACTATGCAGTTCAGGCTGGCCTTGAGCTCACTTTGTAGCCCAGGCTGGTCTCGAACTTGCAAGGATCCTCCTGCCGCAGCCTCCCAAGTGCTGGGATTACAGGCGTGAGCTACCACGCCCGGCCAAGAGTAGGGATGTTTAACCTTTCATGGATTGTTCTGGGAATATGGATGAGAAAAGAATTCTGTCTTATTTTTACGAACCCCTGTCTATTCATTTTAATTTTCTACATAGGTGAAAAAAATACTACTATAGTATTAGCAATGAATAACCTGTAAATAGAAATTAGGTATTTACATATCATATATCAACTGTTTCCTGACAAATATGACAGTTAATAGACCCATGATTCAGCCTTGGTTTATTTCTTTTGAGGGGCTGGTTTTAAGAGTGTCTTGGGATGTAGTGCAGGCTGGCCTTGAACTCACTATATAGCCCAAAGTGGCCTCAAACTCACAGCAATCCTCCTGTGTCAGCCTCCTGAGTGCTGAGATTACAGGTATGTGTCACTGCACTGGCACATCTTCATTTATTAACAAGGAAACACAAGTGGAGGTATTGAAAGCAGGGTAAGGGAATGGGGGAAAAAAAACCATATAGAGCCAGAGATGTAGCTCACTAATAAGGGCTTTTGGGTTTGATCCTAGCATTGCAAAAGGAAGCAAACAAGACAACACAAAAGAACAAAGAGGCAAACCCCATACACCTCCAGCATATGCTTCCTCAGCTCATATAAGCTTGCTCTGGCTGGTCTCTAGCCTTGAGTGTGAGGCCAGGCTGGGCTACACAGTGAGTTTAAGATCAGCCTGAACTACAGCAAAACACTGACATAAGAAACAAAACAACAAAACAAAACAAAACCAAGAGTGATGGGCCCTCACGCTCCCTCCAAACTCACATCTGTTTGCCACTATAGATGAGCCTCTGTTGTTGTGGCGGGATGCCCTCTTTCTCCTCCACACGCTCCTTGATTCGCTCCACCTTAAGAGGCACAAAGTGTTAAAGGCTGTTGGTGGACAGAACCATGGAAATGGACATAACAGGGGCTGAGCAGACAGAATAGGAATGAACCCACTAGGCTCCTAAGCAGTTCTGAGGAAGGGTAGTGGCAAGAAGGGCAGAGAGCAGTGTTGGGCATACATCACCTTGTCTGTGGGTTCAATGTCAATTTCAATCTCCTTTCCGGTCAGCGTCTGAAACAGATGAAGGTCTCGTAAGTCTTACATTTAAAAACAAAATATTTAGGTAAAACTTCCTGTCCTTCTCTTCTGAGAGATGCACGTTTCCAGCAACTGAGACAGAGTCTTGTTATGCAGTTTATGCTGGCCTTGAATTCACTATGTAGTCCAGGCTGGTCTCAACTCAAGGCTTCCAGAGTTCTTACAGGTGAGCACCAACACACCTGACTTCCAGGAACTCTGGTTTGGAGAATCAGGTTACTTGTGCTCAGCAAACAATTTCACGCTGTGGTTTCTTTTTTCTCCCTTTCACTAATGGGGATTAACACTGAGTTAGTTTCAGGGCTTCTTAAATTTTTTATTATTATTATTTTTTTTTTTGGTGCCGGGGATTGAACTCATAACCTCGTGCTTGCCAGGCAGGCACTTAAGCCACTGAGCTAAATCCTCAGCAGCTTTTGAGAAAGGGTCTTCTTAAGCTCCTAATTGCTCGACCTAGGCTCCAATTTGAGATCCTCCCACCCCCAGCTACCCATTGTACTGGAATTACAAGCATGTGTTAGAACCACCAACAGCTGTGGACAATTAAATAATTTTTTAGTTCTTTCGTTTTTGGTTTTTGGGACAGGGTCTCACTATATAGCCCAAGGTGACTTTAAACTTGCAGTAATCCTCCTAAGTGCTGAGATCGCAAGTGTGAGCCACCACATTCAACAACTTTTAAAAACAATTTTATTAGTACATTTGCATTGTACTAGGCCCACACCAGCCTGAATGCACATGATCTTGTCTGCATTGCACAGTGATTTCATTGATTATAGAGTGTTTACACATGCTCAAAACACATCTGAATTCTTTTTCTCATTCTCCCCTCCCTCCATGTCTCAGTACTTTTCCCATTTCCAAAAAATAAATCTCCATTTTCCTATTAACTTTCTTTTCTTTTACTTTAAGTCACTTACTTTCTCATATAAAAGATAGTATGTGATATTTAAGCTTGTTTTTGTGATTTCACTTAACATTATGGTCTAAAGTTTCAGCTTCTTACAAATGCCTCAAATTTATCTTTTTTTGGCAGAGGAGTTGCGCTTCACTGGGTATAAATATCATGTTTCCTAATCCACTTATGTACTGACAAACATATAGGCCATTTCAAAGATTTAGCTATTGTGAGTTATGTTGCTATAAACATGGATATACATGTATCATTGCCATATACCTTTAACTCTTTCCGAAGATGACTATAAGGTGAATAGATAGGTCAAATGGAATTTCTACTTTTAGCTTTTTGGGGAAATCACCATACTGACTTAAATAGTGATTGGCAAAACAAAAAACAAACAAAATTACCAATTTTTCTTTGAGACAGAGTTTTACTACACAGTTCAGGCTGGCCTCAAACTCCCAGTGATCCTACCTCCCTCGTCCCCCACCTCCTCCCCGCCACCCAGTGTTAGAATTACAGGTGTGTGCTGCCATACCTGGCTGATTTTATTTAGTATATAATGAGCTCTATGGCTCTAGATTCAATCTTCTTGATGTTTGGCTGTGGATAATTTCAGAGCATTTCTCTTAGGGGCTGGAGATGTAGCTCAGCAGCACAGTGCCAGCCTGGCAATTTCAAGGCCGTGAGTTCAATTCATGACACCAGGAAAAAAAGAATTTCAAAGCATTTCTTTTAATCTCACAGTAAGGGTCTATTTCTGCTTCTATGCTCATTATCAGTGAAACACTGGTATTTGAGGGGTGGGGAGGGTATATAACAATGAAGATGTCCTAAGTTAAACATTCTTTACAGTCATAAAGACTTTGTTTCAGTGTAAAAATCAACTCTAGGGGCCAGGGATTAGCTCAGTGGCATTAGTGCCTGCTTGGCAAACGAGAGATCATTAGTTCAATCCCCAGGATCAAAAAAAAAAAAAAAAAAAAATTCAACTTTAAAAATCAGCCTTCATAAAAGGATACCAGAAATAACCCTCACCATTTTTTTTTTTTTTTTTTTTTTTTGAGACAGGGTCTCACTATCCATTTCGGGCTGGCCTTAAACTCACTTTGTAGCTCAGGCTGGTCTCAAACTTGCAAGATCGTCCTGCCTCAGCTTCCTGAGTGATGGGACTACAAGCGTTTGCTACCACACCTAGCTCCCTGACCAATCTTTTAACTCCAGAATTTAACACTGCATTTGTTCATATATGTTCTAGACATTTTTTGTTTTTGTACCAGGGATCGAACTCATATCCTCATGCTTGCCAGGCAGGCACTTACATCACTGAGCTAAATCTCCAGCCCCATTCTAGATACTTAAATCTCTAAACACAACTCTAATCTTCCAACTTCTTCCATATACTAAGGACAGCTGATATCTAAATGCAATAACTGTCGTGACTGTATAAGTTATAAACATTACATTGTAATGAATCTAATCTGCCATCTTTCTTTGCTCTTAATGGTCTGTTCACGACAAAGTAAGGTCTGTAGATCAGTAGTAGACTGCCTGACATGTACAAACTCATAGGTTTGATCTAAGCATTGAAAAAAAAAAAAAAAAAGACTACCTAGTCTAATGATCCAGACCACCAATATACCATGTTTTATCTTGTTCAGGGCCATTTCTTTTATGGTTTTTTGAGATAGGATTTCACTACATAGTTCAGGCTGGCCTTGTAGCCCAGGATGGATTCGAACCCACAGCACTCTCTCCCGTGTCTACCACCAGGCCCAACCAGGGCCACCTCTTAGCTTCAGGTTACTGTCTCTCAATCTTCCAAACTTCATGGACCTTTTAGATAAGATCTCTTCCTGTATGATGCCATGACCTATCCTCAATGCACTTTATTAAGACTTACATTATTACCAATTGCAGCAATTTAAGTGTTAATGTTTCCAACTTCATTCCAATTTCCTAAAGGACAAAGATTGTTCAATTTATCTTCCTAATCCAAATACAAAGCATAGTTTCTGACATATAAGCAGTCAATAAATATTTGTAGAAGGACCAAATGTACTGATGATCATTTTGTAATCATAGTCAACATTTACTATATAAGAGAAACCATGCCCAGTGTCTTACATGTATCACATTTAACCCTCCTAAGAATTAGTTTATTTTTGTTATTTTGAGACAGGATGGGTGTTACATCATTTAGGCAGGCACAGACTTGTGATTGCCCTGCCTCAGCCTCCTGAGAGCTGGGACTACAGACATGTGCTATCTCTTCCCTTCAAAAAACCAGGTAAGGGGAGTTTTACGAATAAGTAAAATAAGACTGTCCATGAGATGGTAACTTTTGAAGCTTGGTGAAAGGTACACAGGCCCCTCTCTTTTTTGTTGTATGGATGAAACTATCAGTCTCCTAGCCCGATGTGGTGGAACACTCCTGTAATTCCAGCACTCAGGAGGCTGAGGCAGAAGGACTGCTATGAGGCCAGCCTGGACCATACACCAAGAACCTGTCTCAAATCACCCCCCGAAAAATAAAAAATTTAAAAGTTTTTCAGCCTCCCAAATAGCTAGGATTACAGTTGTATACCACTGTACTCAGTTTACAGAACATTCTTCATCAGATTCATGTCAATCTGAATTCCTTTGCTCAAAATATGATCATTCTGGCCTGGCAGTATATTCGATGCTATTTAACAACCTATGCTGAACCTAAACCTAACAAAGCCCTATGCACTAGAGAGATGCAAAAGAAGCAATTCAGCCTTCTCAACAACCTTCTTCAATTGAAGATTTACAACCAAGAAATAATGTGTTATAAAACAGAAGAAATTAATATAGAAGAAAGTATCACACTGAGCATTACTATCCAAAAACAAGGGCCAATGACAAAGTGTGACGGGGAGTGAAAACTAATATTCCTCAGTTTAAGACTGACTGGGATGAGACCCAGAAACACGGAAGACTGAGATCTGCAAAAGTTGGTGTGGGAGAATTAGGTAAGCCAGATATTATAGGAAAGAAGGTAAAATGGTCCAATCTCTTCGAGAACAGTTTGCAATTTCTTTTTAAAGTTATATGTATCCATGACATGATCTAGTAATTCTGTTCCTAGGATTTTTTTTATTTTGTTTTATTTTTTGAGACAGGATCTTATTATGTAGCTCCCGCTAGTCTCAAACTCACAGCAATCCTCCTGCCTCTGCCTCCAAAATGCTGGAATTACAGGCATGCATGACCATGCCTGGCCTGTTCTTAGGTATTTATCCAAAGGAAATGAGAACAGTTGTTACAAAAAGCCTTGTATAACAATGTTCTGAAAAATCTTACTCATAATAAGCAGAAACCAGAAATGACTCAAATGCTGATCAATGAAATGGACAAACTGTGATACAATCATCTTACAGAACACTATTCAGTAATAAGAAGGGACAAACAATAGAAACAAAGATATACTGGGAGAAGCTAGATACAACAACCTATATTGTTTAATCTCATTTACATAAAATTTTAGAACAAGCAAAACTAACCTATGAACTTATGAGGGATAGTGGTAAATATATATTTTTGGAGGCAGGTTTCCAAATTCATGTTGGCCTTGAACTCGCTTATATAGCCTGGGCTGGCCTCTGGCTCTTAATGAGTTTTTAACAACAGCATAAATCTGAGTAACTATAAATTTTAAAATTTTTTACTAAGCCAGGTGTAATGGCACATTCCTGTAATCAGGAGGCTGAGGCAGGAGGATTGCCCGTAAGTTTGAGGCCAGCCTGCACTATAATAGAGAAAATCTGACTCAGAAAAACAGAACAGAAATCTCATTCAATTGAACTCTTAAGAACTGTGTCTATTCCCAGACATGGTGGCATTCTAGGAGGCTGAGGTAAGAGGATTCCAAGTATATGCCCAACCTGGGCAATTTAGTGACTTAGCTAGACCCTGTCCAAAATAAAAAATAAAAAGGGTTGGAATGTGGGTCAGTGTGAAGGCTCTGGGTTCAATCCAGTATTGGGGGAGGAAATATATACATATACATACATACAGAGAGAGAGAGAGAAAGAGAGAGAGAGAGAGACAGACAGACAGACAGACAGACAGACAAATGGGCTCACACAGCAAAGACAACTTTGCCAAAGTAATCAATCTGCAACAGGAAACCAATGCAGGGTCTAGAGTTAGGGCGTAACAGGATGAAAAAGGAGCTTAAGAAAGCTGTGCACACTATGGTTCTGTATGCTGTGTTTCAGTTTAGACTATATACTTCAGAGAAGATATGGCAGTAGGAAAACCTGGCATATCACAGAGAAACAAAGATATAGATGAAACCAAAGACCAGAATGACAATAATGGGAATGGAAAGAAAAATAAGCAGAAATTGGTCTCATATTAAAAATATGAGGTCCTACATAAGCGCCTGTCTTGCAAGCACATGGTTGTGAGTTCGATCCCTGGTGCCGGTGGTTTAAAAAAAAAAAAATGAGGTCCTATAAAAGTGAAAAGTAAAGAATTATAGTCCGGATACCAGGAAGATGAATGGGGTTAACATGAGGCAGGTACTGGTAAGATGACTATGGCAGGATCATACAGATGAAGTGACAAAATTTAAATCAGGAAAGATTTAACTGTAAAGGATTACAGAAACATATGCAAGAAGTCAGCTACATTTAGATGTGATGGTACATAGCTGTAATCCCTGATGCTCTGGAGGCCAAGACAGAAAGATCACAAGTTTAGATTCAACTTAGACAACAGCAAGATTTGATCTCAAGATAAAAAATACATAGAAATGGGTGAGGACATAGCTCAGGGCACCCTGGGTTCAAGGCCAGTAATACTAAAAAAGGAAAGGAAAGGAGTAAACTACTATAGAGATGAAAATTGATGTATAAATAATACACAAAGAACCCTAATAAAAACTAACTTATTTATAATTGTAATTAAAAGCTAACTAACTGTTTCCATATGTATTTAATGTAAAAAAATGCAGAGCCAGGAGTAGTGGAACACAGCTCTAATTCTAGCATTTAAAAGCCTGAGGCAGGAAGATTACTGCAGGTTTGATGTCAGCATGAGCTACATAGTAAGTTCAAGGGCACCCTGAATACGTAGTGAGAACAAGTCTCAAAAAAAGCAGGGAGAAAAAAAAAAAAGGAAAAGAAAGACATGCAGCAAAAAAGTAAAGGGATAAAGGACAGCCAGATCTGTTAGAAAATAGAAGGTGCAAGAAAGAAGACCAGATGGGGCTGGGGATTTAGCTCAGCGGCATAAGCACCTGCCTTGCAAGCAGGCAGTCGTGAGTTTGATCCCCGGTACCGATAAAAAGGAAAAAGACCAAAGAAAGAAGACCAGAAATTATAAACAATGAGAAAATAAAAATAGATTCAAAGAGATAAAATCTAGAACCTTGCTGTTTGAAGCACAGCTCAGCAGCACCAGCATCTCCTGCAGCTTTTACAATGCACATTCTTGTGCTTCATCCAACGCACAAAAGCAGCAGTGTTTCAGAAAGACCCACAGGCAATTCTTTTTTTTTTTTTCCTCTACTTCTTTGAAAATGAATCCACAGGCAATTCTTATGCACTGTGAAGTTTGAGAAGTTGATCTGGAACACTGTATTTATTTATTTTATTTTTAGAGTACAGGCTGGCGTTGAACTCACTATGTAGCCAGGGCTGGCCTCCAACTTATAGCAATTCTGCTTCAGCCTCCTGAGTGCTGAGATTATAGGCATTCACTGCCACGCCTGGCTTGAAACACTGTATTATTTAAACTGTAGATTTCAACCCATTGATGACTAATGAACCTACTTAAAATAAAAAAATATCAAGAGTGCATCATGCATAGTAAGTTGTTTTGTTTAAAAAGGGCACGGCTAAATTTTCCTACTGTGAGTTCAAATAATTAAAATCTTTAGCTGGGAATGGTGGCACAGGCTTATAAACCCAGCACTCTGGGAGGCTGAGAAATGAGGACATTCTGGAAAGGTGAGGCAAGATGATCACAAATTCAAGCCCAGCACGGGCAACTTAGCAAGACTATGTCTCAAAATAAAAAATAAGTAAGACGAGGGATGTCACTCAGTACCAAGACCCTGGGTTCAATTTCCAGCAGTAATAATAAATAATGTTTAAAACACAGTGAAAGTTGGATGTGGTGGTGCATCCTCCTAATCTCAGCACTTGGGAGGTTGAGGCAGGAGGATTGCTGTTAGTTGAAAACCAAACCTGGGCTACATCGTGAGACACTGTCTCAAACAAACAAAACACAACAATCAAACAAACACAGCAAAAGCACAGTAATAAGATTTCATGTAAGGAGACAGGAAAATGCATGAGCATTTGTTAGTGTTTCTCAAAATTTTGACAATGCATCACATGAACAAATACATAAGGACTAGTAACACGTGTGCAATATAAAATGAACCAAGCAATCCCCTTACTTAGCCATACACTCTATTTTCTGTATTTTTAAAATGGTGCTTGGAATCCATAAATTCTTTTAGAGAACACCACTCAAAATTTACAAAATAATAAGCTTCTACATGCTTTTGGGCCTCAAACATTTACTAAGAGGTATTTTGGAAGGATCGCAAGGAGAAATTTAAGAACTGTTTTATAGAGTAGGATGTGGTGGTTCACTCCCTCAATCCCAGTAATCTGGAGGCTGAACTGGGCTACAGTGAGACCTTGTCTCAGAAAAAAATACGACCCCCCCCCAACTGCTATTATATATAGAAAACAGCTGACGAAATAGTTATAAAAAGGGTAAACTACTGTTAAACTGCATCAGTTATCTCGGTTTTTTCCTCCCCTCTGTCTATAAAGTTTCAAAAAGCAGATAGGTAACTAACTAGATTTAGTCAAAGAAGTGAGAGGCTGGTTCTCGATTGGCTCGAGAAGGCTGGTTCATACCATACACTGCCAACTACACCAGCAAAGTCTCCTGGCCTAGTCCCTGGGAGGGCCCCGTTTCCCAGTCTAAATATTTTAGCGCTGTGCTCGAAGCAACCTATATTAGGGGTTGAGATAAGCAGGTAACCTGGGAATGAAGAATGGAGGGCAGAGGTTTTTCCAAGAATCCAAGAGACGAGGAAGCCCTAGGCCTTCTCTAAGGCTGCAGGGGTTCGAAAAAGAGGGAGAGCTGGACAAAAGCAGTTTCCTTCGAGTCTTGGCAGTTCGGGCAAGAAAGCAGACTGCAGAGACCCTAGGCTCTTCAAGCCGGGCTAATTCGCAGCTCTCAATGCTCTCGGGGGGGGGGGTCCCCTATTTCCCACTGCGCCCCGCGCGGCATCCCAAAGCTGTCAGCGCCCTTCAGATCAGGCGAAACGTGTTTTGCTGTCCCCACTTTCCCGTGAGGCGCAGAGGCCAGCCCGGTACCACTGTTTTGAAAATTCTCCCACCTTCACTTTAATTAGCATCTTCTTTCCTGGTTGAGGCTGCAAGCGGATAAATTGGTGCGTCTCCCGCTGCGGACACAGAAGCCGCTTCCCAGCACCCTAGGAAAGTCACTTCTGCTTCCGGGTCACGCGGTGGTTCCACCTCCCCCTTCTTCTAACAGGGTTCACGACTCGAGAATAAGGTCTCGTTACGTTTCAGTGCCGCGGTAAATAAAAAGAAAGTAGCCACGTTAGTTACAGCAATGATAAAGGCCCCACGATTCTCAGAGTTTCTACCGAGCTAGGGAGAGCAAGAAGCTGGGACCTAAGGGAACACTTCTTCCATCACACCAGGAGGCAACTCCTCTCGTTGCACCCTGGGAGTTGTAGTTTACCGCCGCTCGGATGTAACAAGGACCCCGGTGTGTGAACTCTGTTTCCCAGAATACCGAGCAGGTCCTCCACCCAAGGTAGAATTCCTCCGTTAGTCTTCCTGCAGGCCATTAGCGGAACCAGTTGGTGTGGCTCACAAGACTTAGCGGGGTTGCTCGAGGCTAGTTGCTAAGCTACGGGATCTTTTGGTCAACTGCCATCTCTGCTAAGGCAATAGGAAGTGAGTACCCCCATGCCGGAAGCTGACCTTACCATTCTTTCTACTTCCCAAGTTAGATTTTATTCCAAACTGGGCTTTGCAGGGACGGGAGGAGGAAGTGTATTCGGGTAGACTCAACCCCATCGCAGTTCTCTATAACAGTTAATACTTGGGATGGAGCCATCAAAAGGAATCGAAGCCACAGGACGGTCCTGGCCACAGGCTTCAGGCAGGACACCTTGAACTACAATTTGGACCTTCACAACTAAGCCGAGAGAGGGGCCCCTGTCCGCAGCTGTGGGACATTAAAACCCAAAGGGATATTGGTTCAGATCCCTTTTTCTGACTTCCAGCCTTCCAAAGCCCAAGTTGACTCCCTGTGGTCCCCAGCCATGCCTCATATTGACAACGATGTGAAACTGGATTTCAAGGATGTCCTGTTGAGGCCCAAACGCAGCACCCTCAAGTCTCGAAGCGAGGTGAGCCAGCTTCTTTGTCTACTTACATTTCTTTTCTTTTTTTGGCCTCTGTGCACTTTGTGGGCCAGGCAGGACCAGGAAGATTGCCTGATTCTTATCCTAATGTGATACTTATTTTCCGGATGAGTGACAAGCACTTTTCCCGTTCATATCTGTAGGTAGATCTCACAAGATCCTTTTCATTTCGGAACTCAAAGCAGATGTACACTGGCATCCCCATCATTGCTGCCAATATGGATACTGTGGGCACCTTTGAGATGGCCAAGGTTCTCTGCAAGGTGGGACTTCCTCATACCTGTTACCTAATGGTATCCAATTAGCCCAGCTGGCTGCCAAGGTGTTTGCCACCCTATTTCCACTCCAGTCACCTCTCTCTAACTATGAGCAGTTAGGATGCTGTATTTACTATTTTCTGTAGTACACAAAGACCTATTTGATCAGATCAAAAGGCTGTCTGAGGGCCAGGGATATAGCTCAATGGCCTAAGTGCCTGTCTGGCAAGTGCAAGGTCCTGAGTTTGATTCCCAGTACCAAAACAAAACAAAACACACAAAAAATCTGTCAGAACATTGAGATTCAAAGTTTGCCCATTGTTTAAACCAAACTTTCTCTTTATATCTTATCACTTTTTTCCACTGCACAGATCAGCCCCTCCCATCATGTGTGTCACTACTGTTTGCATCACTAAGCATTCACTGTTTTAGTTCAGAAAATAAGTTTGAGTATTTAAATTTTCATAACTTAGGATATTGTAGAGAGAAAGTTAATTTTTTTGATGAGAGTTAATTTTTAATACCCACTATTCCTTTAAAAAATATCTTCCTTTTAAGTCCTAGGTTCCTGGGAGTTTCTGTGATGTGCCCCAAATGGAATGTTTTTTCTTATATACAGGTTGTTCATATTGAAATGGAAGACACTGCTGTGTTATTACCTGTCCTCTGTGCTTGTAGCTGAGAAGGTAGATAGTTCCCTGGGCATCTTAAGAACATATGCACGCTGCTGGTTGATTCTTGTAGCCCTAGTTGATGGGTTCTGTTGCTGGTTGTTGCTGTGTTAACCTTGAGCACTTTACCTCCTTGTCTCCAGTTTTTTGGTGTGTGTGTTGAAAGCCATTGTGATGTCTGAGTTTGATAGTTACACACTTTTATTCATGTTGCCATTCACTGACTGTTAAGGAACCCTACTGTTATCCATTATCTACCCACCCTGACCAATAGATTGGGGCATAATAAATATGACCATAGAGGTAACAAATTTGCTATAATAAATGAACCTTGTTGGAGCCTGTCTTAATTTTTTGAGATTGGCTGTGAGTATTGCTAAAGAAATCAGATTTTAGAGATGGAGCCAAGCAAGTCTCACAATAATAATAAAAAGGTTGGCTACAAGCAAACATCTTTTTTTTTTTGTCTTTTTTCCTTTCTATCGGTACTGGGGATCGAACTCACGACTGCCTGCTTCCAAGGCAGGCGCTTATGCCGCTGAGCTAAATCCCCAGCCCCCCAAACATCTTTTTCTAAGCTCGGCATTTACTGGACGTGGTCATCATGGCACATTATGTCAGTGTACCTCCCAGACTGTTAGTGATGGCAAACCTTTTAAAGCTTTCAGTGATAACAAAACACTGACCTACAACAACTTCTTTTAACAGCATGTTGGTGGTAGAGTTTTACTGAGAGACAATTCAGTTTTAGCTTCAGCTAGTGTGTTCTTTTGTATGTTTTGGTTTTTTTAAGACAAGGTCTTACTATGTAGTCCATGCTAACCTCAAACTCTCAGCAATGCTCTCTGCCTCAGCTTTCCAACTGCTGGAACTTCAAGGATGCACCACCACGCCTGGCACCAGCTTTAGCTAGTGTTGATGACCTCAGAGGAAGTATAACATTTCCTGTAGCTGCTCATACATCACTTTATTGGTTTTTTTCAGTTGTTTTCTGTCATCTATTTGTCTATTTCCACTTTAAAAGCACAAACATCAACATTCAGGTCCTTCTAAATGCCTTTCTCAAAGTACTGGGATATTCTTTGCAGTTTGTTGAGGTAGAGTGTGAACCTGAGGGGTCATTGTATCTTTGAATTTGGTTGACTAAAATAGATGAAACAGACTTTCTGTGTTTATGTCCAAAATAAGAAAATGTCCTTTAATAGAAAAGGAGAAAAGATGGGATGGCACCTTATGAGCTTCATTAACCATAAGACCTTACCTTTTTTGGGCATTTTCCTTACTAAATTACTGGTAGAAAGTGGGTTACCTTAGGAGGAGAGGCTAAGTGAGGACAAACACTGGCTCCATCTGGTCTCTTCATAGTTTCTCAGTGTCTGCTACTGGTTCCACTACACCAACAGCTTCTGCTTGTCACTTTCTGGTCAGTAGCAACATACATGGTAGCAGATCAAATGCAGTATAGATAACTCAGAAATATTTGACAAAAACTGGCTTATATGGTAAAGTCCTACTGGCATTTGTGGGGAGAATAAAGATTGAGTTAAATCCTAGCTTAACTATGAACTTTTAAAAGTGTGGGTTTTTTTTGAAACTAGTATTTTCTCTCAGAATAGTAGAAAAGTCTATTTGTAGGGAGACATTAATAGTTTTCTCCTTTTTGATGGTTCTTTCTTCTCCCCAGTTCTCCCTCTTCACTGCTGTCCATAAACACTACAGCCTTGATCAATGGCAACAGTTTGCTAGCCAGAATCCGGACTGTCTTGAGGTAACACTGGGCCTAGCCTGCTCCCTTTCTTATCCCGTTTTCCACCAATCCGTTTTTGGTTTCTTGGGGACCAACTCTTATGCTTATCCCTGGTCAGCTGCTCATCAGATCATCTCTGATATGATACCAAAGGCCCTGTTTTTCTCACAGTATCTGGCTGCCAGCTCAGGCACAGGCTCTTCTGACTTTGAGCAGCTGGAACAGATCCTGGAAACTATTCCTGAGGTGAAATATATATGCCTGGATGTGGCAAATGGTTACTCTGAACACTTTGTTGAGTTTGTAAAGGATGTCCGGAAGCGCTTCCCCCAACACACTATCATGGTATGTTTCTTCCCCCCTGCCCCTTTTCTTGTTTTTGTTTTGTTTTTTTGAGACAGGGTAACACTGTGCAGTTCAGGTTGGCCTTGAACTCACCTTGTAGCCCAGGCTAGACTCAAACTCACAGTAGTCCTCCTGCCTCAGCTTCCCAAGTGCTGGGATTACAGCCATGTACCACCACAGCTAACTATCATGGTATGTTTATATTATCCTGTAGTTGCTATTTTCCTATCCTTTCACTCTTTCCTGATATTTCATTTTGTTACATCAGTTCATTTCTTCTCTGCTGCATTATGTTGTATTTACTCTATATAATGCTGGATGATTATTTGTGTTTCTAAGTTTAAAATATGTATTGATCAGTGCAGTATCTCTGACCCTTGATTCTTAGTCTTTGTAAATCCAGTGTTCCTGACTTTACTCACCAAATCACAATGGAACTGTACATACTCATGGTACATATACATCTATCCACTGAAATGAATATGTACTGCAATGATATACAAGATGTGACAAACAATTTTCTTAGAAGCTTCAAAATTAACGTTGAAGGAGGCATCTTTGTATTGTCCTTCAAAAACAAATACAAGGGATGGGGATATAGCTTAGCAGCATAAGCACCTGCCTGGCAAGTACAAGATCCTGAGTTCCTCAGTACAAAAAAAAAAAAAAAAAAAAAAGCAAATACAATCTGCATGGTGGTACACGTTATAATCCCAAAAGTTTGGATGCCTGAGGCAGGAGGACTTCAAGTCCCGCCTTGGCATTTTAGGAGAGCTTGTCTTAAAATACAGAAGGGACCTGGGACAAAACTTAATGGCAGAGAACTTACAGAAGGGACTGGGGACAAAACTTAGTGGCAGAACACTCATGGTTTTGATTCTCAGTATTACAAAGTAAAAAAGGCAAACACAGTCAGGGCATATGGGTATGTAGCCTACATTGCTATTTTTTCCTCCTTTCCCCAACGCCTGAAAGGTTCTGTGATACAACAGCTTCAGGACAGGGTATGTCTGATTCACTTGGTGAAAGGGAGGTAAGTTTACTTACAGCTCAGATCTGAGTTTGGTCTAGTAGTTTTTGCCTCACTATGTGTCTCATTACTGATACACCATTTTATTGCCTGAAGCAGTATAATGCATCCTGGATCCTGAATTTACTCTAGTTTAGCTCTTTGACACTGGCCATTCTTTGTCCAAAATGCCCTGCTTCCCACTATTCTCACTGCAGGGTGGTAGGTGGACCAAGGAGAAATGGCTAGGAAACATGGCTGTTTGAAGTAGCTAGTATAAAAGCTCTTGGAGGGCCCAGCAGAAGGCACCTTGATACCTTTTCTTTGTAATAACATTGGAAAGTCAGGGGGCTGGGGATTAAGCTCAGTGGCATTAAGCGCCTGTCTTGCAAGTGCATGGTCGTGAGTTCGATCCCCGGTATTGATAAAAAAATAACAACATTGGAAAGTCAGTGTCCAGGCATGCTGTTCTATCTATAAAAACATCTGAACTCTCCCATTTCTATTTTGATTGCTGTATCTCAGGCTGGAAATGTGGTAACAGGAGAAATGGTGGAAGAACTGATTCTTTCTGGAGCTGACATCATCAAGGTGGGAATTGGACCAGGTAAGCTGGTTAAGCCATTGGTGAACTCTTTGGTGGCCAGTATCTGTGAAGCACTTCACTCTCACCTTTGTCATGTTCTTTGCCAGGCTCTGTGTGTACAACCCGGAAGAAAACTGGAGTGGGGTACCCACAGCTCAGTGCAGTGATGGAGTGTGCTGATGCTGCTCATGGCCTCAAAGGCCACATCATTTCAGTAAGACTCAAGGGGTGGATCGAATATGAGGCTGAGTTTTCTTCTGTGTGGAGGCTCTGGTAGGGTTCCTGTATTTCCATCAGTTTTAAGGTGGGCTGTTGGGATGTTGCCAAGGTGGCTTGGAAAATCCATGCTATCTCCACAAAGTGTTCCTTACTTTGCAGGATGGAGGCTGTAGCTGTCCTGGGGATGTGGCCAAAGCTTTTGGTGAGAAAGCTGGGAGGACACAGAAGAATCCTGTAGAATCACCTCTGAGGGTCTAGGGTCAGGCTAGGATGGGTATGGGAAGCCATTGAAACTTTTGTAATATGAACTGATTACTCTAACGCTTGACTATAGTTATCATCTACTGCAAACCAACAGAAGAAATTTGAGACACTGATTTGTATTCTTCATGTGTGAAGCAGTAACATTGCCCCTGTCCACTGAATTTTTTTTTTGAGTGTCCATTCAATTGTTGCACAATATAGATTCTGGGCTTCATTCAACACCTACCCAAATCAGCCTCTGAAGTATAGGGCTCTAAGTCTGCATTCTTCACAGCTTCCCAAGTGAGCCTTACTCATATTAATGAGACCTCTAGTCCCAGGAGGCTTGAAGTCTTTGTCACTTGGAAGCAGTAAAACAAAATGACCAGCAGATGGCAGAAGCAACAGAACAAGTAGAAGTCAGTCAGGGAATTCCCAGAGGTTCTTTAAAAAATCTTGAGGAAATCAGCTTGAGTAAATGCCAGTGCACCTAAGGCCTGTGTGGGATGTGAGGCAACTGGGGAAAAAACTGGGAAGATGCTAGAGTCACTACTCAGGACAGAGAATTTGGCGTGAGTTGTTTTTGAAGGAGGGCATATGGGCCCCTTGGCCAGCTACATGTTTTACCCACTTTCTTCATTTTTGGCAGGGGCAGGAGCTGACTTTGTGATGCTGGGTGGCATGTTGGCTGGACACAGTGAGTCAGGTGGTGAGCTCATTGAAAGGAATGGTGAGAAGTACAAGCTTTTCTATGGAATGAGTTCTGAAATGGCCATGAAGAAGTATGCCGGCGGTGTGGCTGAATATAGGTATATATGGAGTTCCAGCAGCTGAGGGTTCTTGGAGAACATATCTATGTAGTGTGATGTCAGGACTCATGGCTTCTAGGAGGAAATGTTGAAATGGGGCTAAATGCTAGCAATACAAGAGTCGTAGGTTTAAGGAATTCAGAACAAGAAAGTAATGATGTTTTTCTTATTTCAAGGGCTTCGGAGGGAAAGATAGTGGAAGTCCCTTTTAAAGGAGATGTAGAACATACCATTCGTGATATCCTTGGGGGAATCCGATCTACATGTACTTATGTGGGAGCAGCTAAGTTGAAAGAGTTGAGCCGGAGAACGACCTTCATCCGAGTCACCCAGCAAGTGAATCCAATCTTTGGTGATGCACACTAGACCTGGTGAGCAATTCTGCCCACCCCAGGACTGGCATTCCACTGCAGGGAACCCAACTGCTTTCTCACCCACCCCAGCTTGTGTGCCTGTGTGCCTGTGTATGACTTTATGACTTGCTATCATCCCACTCCTGAGGGCTCCAGCACTCTCTAGTTCTTTTATTTGCACACACAAAATGCCCAAGATACTCACTGGGGCAGAAGCTAGAAAGAAGACAGAATGAGGAAATGAAGATATTCAAATGGGAATCTGGGGACACAGAATCCCTAAGAGGAAAACATGTTGATTTGATTGGGTTTTACATGGCCTTGATCTCAAAGCAGCACGCTTTTATAATCACGTTTTGTTAATTAGCTTCATTAAATGACATCCTCGGGTATCTCAAGCTCAGAAGTGTTGATGGATTTAAAATATTCTCCATAAAGAGAGAGCTCTTGGACTGCAAAGCCATGCTGGGTCTCTGCGGTGCTGGCATCTGGGTACTGCTCCATGGTAGGCAGAGTTAGGATCAGCACTGACCCTCAGGATTACCATAGTAACCCTTCTAGGCACTTTTGAGTAACACTTTCCAAAGAAGCAAAAAGGCAAAGGGGTTCCTTCAGCTCTAGGGAAGGCAATTCTAACAAATGACCTCTGATGACCCATGGAAGCCTTCATTACCCTTCTTCACAAGTCAAGGTTGAGACATCAAAAATCTGATTATCAAACATTATACTGCTTTGGGCTGGAGAATGTAGCTCAATGGTACTGTGATTGCCTAGGATGTACAAGGCCCAGAATTCAATTTCCAGTACCACCACCAAAAAAAAAAAAAAAAAAAAAAAGGCATTATACCACTTTTATTTAGGCATCACAGATGGGTTTCCACTTGATTCCCATTAAGCTGCCTGCAGAGCTGAGAAAAGAGGTGGGCATAGGGCATAGGGCACTGCAGTAGCATCACAGGGCTCTAGAGCTATCTGTGCAGTCATGGGAAGCAGCAGGCATGGCACTGAGGCCATAGATGGGGAAGTATTCATGGAAGATGGGGATCAGGGTATTATACTTTGTCTTCTGATAGTTTCCTAGAGACTATAGAGAAGGGAGCATGAGGGGTTCTAACACTGGAAATGAATTCTGGAGCCTGTGGGCTTCTCACTCTTGTTCTGCCCATTGTTCTCTCCAGTTCTCTGCTCTTGCCTACTTTCCTTCTCTCTGGCAATCTTCATCAGAGTCCAAAACCAAGTCCCCTATGATAATGACTGAGGTGGTCAGAGGCAGAAAATGTGCTGCAAGAAAGAAACCAGAATCAAATTTCTTTCTCATAGAAAGAGGCTGTCTGATCCAGTCCTGACCCACCTACCTGGCTTCTTGGCCTCCGGAGGTGATAAGGATAGTCTCACGGGTTCCAAGTAGCAATCCAAGCAATTCCTAAGACAGAAGCAAAGGGCAGGGTAAAGACAAAGAAGCAAACAGTGTGCTCCTAGCAGGGACAAACAACACTTGTACTCACTCCATTTCCCCTGAGGCAGACAAGGCAGGTGGGTTTTCTTTCAGAGCCTTTCCCCCCAGAATCTGAGATGGACTCTTTGACTTGCTGGTGATGGCTGCTTTTGTGCCCACACCTGCTGTGTCTGCTGTGGGCATCCCATGCTCTTCCCTGCCCTCAGGTTGAGCTATGACTTGGCTTGATGGGTCCAGATTCCTAAAGGGTAACAGCATGACTGTGGGGCGTTCTTTATAGCTGCCCCCTGAAGATGTCCATCGGGACTGGAGTCTTCGCCGGCCTAAGGGGGTCAGATTGAAGTGATGGCCAGCAAAAGATTCTCGATGCTTCCTTAAAGCTGGTTCTCCAGGGCTGGGCTTGGCATTTGGTAGAGGACTGTGGAGAGCTGGTTTAGACTGCATAGGAGGATTCTGTCCCACAGGCTCAGTCAAGTTCACTGAATCAGAAACAAAGTGCGCAGGGGATTTAGCTTAGTGGCTTAAGTGCCTGCCTGGCAAGCTTGAGTTCCATCCCCAGTACCAAAAAAAACAAAAACAAAACAAAACAAAACAAAACAAAAAACCAAAAACCAGAAACAAAATGTTCTGTGAAACACATGAGGTTTCTTTCTTTCTTTCTTTTTAAAGAAATGAGGTTTTTCATTAGAATAACTACCTCAGGCCCACATAACTTCCAGTAGGCTGACTTAAATGAGGTCATGCTAAACACTGAACCCCTAAGTTTGCTAGTTTCCCAGGTGGTCCTGGTACCTGGAAGTGGCCACCCCATGTCCATAGCATATTGGCTCAAGGCAAGAGAAGAGGGGACAGGAACTTTGGGTTGCATCCGACTCAGCACATCTTGAAGCTGTGGGGAGGGAGAACTATGAAGACCATAGCTTCTCAGACAACCACCCCACAGCCTGCCCTTGCACTCCACTCCAATGAAACCTGCTGTGCCTGTATGGTAGGCAGTGCTCTCTCTAGCTGACACAAATATTCAAAAAACAGCTTCTCCATGGCAGCCATAAAGGGTTCCCCATATTCTTCTTCAAGCTCCTGCTAAGCTGAAAAAGAAGCAGAAGAGGAGGACGGAAACAGGAGCCACCTGACAGCCTTCAATACAGCTAGTCTCACCTGTAGCTTTGAGGCCAAATTCACGGGGGCCTCTGACATTAGTTGCTTCACCTGCTGGCAAAAGGTTTTCCGTGCTTCCAGCATCTTCAGATCCTGCTCTGTCTGTTGAGGAATGATATGAAAGGCAGAAAAAAGTTGCACACACCAGGATCCAGTGGTGGGGAGAAGGCGTACTAAGCGTAACTGGGGTCAGGTCTTGTTCCAGGGATTACTCACAGCTTTAGGGTACCGCGGTACAGGTCCAGACTCTGGGAAGTGGTGGTTCAAGACACTCAGAACCTGAGGCCAAGGCCGGCCTCGTACGATCATCTCCACCACCATCTGCACGATACTGAGCTCAGAATCCTGTTTCAGGCAAGCTACCCTTTCCGACTAGTCTCACCCCCAACCTGACTGTCCCCTCCACAGGTCCTCGCATCCCCCGCCCTTTCCAGGTCCTCTCACTGCAATACCTTGGCCTGTAGGCCCACACTCAAGCGCTCGTGGTGCCTGTAGCAAAACAAGCCGGGAGCAGCAGCGCGCAGGGAGCGCAGAAACTGGAGGACTCGAGGGAAATGCTCCACGCGGCGTTCGCGCACCACTCGCCAGCTGGCTGCCGCGGCAAAGCGCCAAGCAGCGGGACTGGCCCCCTTCGGGGCGGCCATGGTTGGCGTACTATGCCTGGGGGAAACTCGTTCCTAAGGACAGCGATCCTGGCAACCCTCAGGCAGTCGAGTTCTTTGTTCAACGACGGTCAGTTTGTGATCTCTCTCAGCCATTTCGGTAGGTCCCCAAAGTCACGGAGTCTTTTGTCTCGCTGTGGAACCTTAATTCAGAAATGGGCTGTCTGACAGACTACCCTATTGCTCAACTTAAATGCTGCTGCTGTGTGGAAGTGAAAGACCTGACTTCCAGTTCTGACAAGGTTTTCCCCTGGAAAGTGCGGGAGAAGGGGACCAATAGGCGGCCAGAAAGATGTGCGTCGTGACGTCATAATATCGCGCCTAGCAGCTCCTGCTTGGCTCTTCACACCGGTTTTCTACGCAGGTAGTTCCGGCAGTTGTGTGGCAGCGGCTTCTCTGTTGATGTTTATAGCTTCTGCCACGCTTCTGGAGACTGGTTGAGACACGTCACGTCATTCTTGAGGTCCAAATTTAAGAGTTCAGCTGGGCCACTTTCTGATACTGTCTGGTCTGGAAGTAAAATAATTTGAAGAGCTGTGGATGAAGCTCAATGAGAAGACCCTGGGCTTCAATCCCCAGTACTGCAAGTAAATATGAATAAGTAAAGAACAATTTAAAAAATAGTTTTCTAAATGTTTTGCACACAACTGTCAGCAAACTTAATGAATTTACTATTCTTACTATGTTGTCATCTTTTCTAGTGTCTGCCTGAGTCCATCACCAAGAACCAAACAAGGCACACATTGCATACTCTGTTGACTGAGTTCACTAACCTGCATGGACCTGCTTGTAAAACATAGTGAAACTGCGTGGTCTTTTGGGCCATTTCTTACATTCCTAGACCTAATGGCTCACATTGTTTTCATCACCACTAGATCAGTTTTCTAAAAGGATCTACACATTTAGTATATGTGCTACTGAATTGAGCACAGCCTCCACATATTCAACTGACCATGAGATACCTACTCCCAGAGTACCACAGATTGGGTATGTGTGAAATTTTAGCTATGTTACATTTTTTCATTCATTTATTCTCTGATTTTCTTCCTTTATGTAGGTTGAATTTCTGACATGTATAACTTCCATTCTTTCCAAAGAGTTTCTTCTGATATGTCTTGGAGCCAGAAAGCAACACAAAGATAAGGACCAGAGCTCCCCCAAAGAGAATCAAGTCTACTGGTGACAGATTCCATCAATTTTCATCTAAGTATTTCTGTCTCCTCTTTGAAAGGTTGTTTTGTACAGAGTACTAGATGTGAAGGGCTTTTTTCCCCCTCATTCAATGCTCTAAATATATCATCCTACTACATTCTTGATTGAATGGTTCCTGAATGGATATTAATGTAATTCTTTTTCTTTTTCTTTTTGGTACTTGGAATCAAATTCAGGTTCTTGTGCTTGCAGGCATGCATTGTGCAACTGAGCTATATCTCTGGTCCATTAATGTAATTGTTATCTTTGTTCCTCTATAGAAAAGTTTTCCTGAACTACTCCTTGCTTCTTTCAGTACTTGTTTATCTGTCCTTGATTATCTGCAGTTTGGTATGATGTGCCAAGGTGCTGTTGGTTTTTGTGGGGTTCTTTGGTATTTATTTTTTGCTCTCCTTGGTTGGTATTTATCATGGTTACCATTCTCTAGGTTCCTGCATCTGCAATTGGTATAATTTGTTTTGGGAAATTCTCAGTCATTATTGCTTCACACATTTCTTTTATTCCCTATTTATTTTCATTTTGTGTGTAAATCTTTTGTAAGGATCCCAAAATTCTTGGACATTCTTTTTTATTTGTTTTTCTCTGCTTTTCAGTTTTGGAAATTTCTATTGACATTTCTTCAAGTTCATTGATTTTTTTTTCTTCAACTTTGTTCATTCTTCCTGGAACCATCAGACCACCTTTGTTAGTTTTTTGTTGTTGTTGTTGTTTCTACCATTTACTTTGAGTTTTTTCTTAAGATTTCCACTCTCTATTTATATGGTCCACGTGTTATTTCATGTCTATTTTTCCTTTAGAATTCATAGCATGTTTATCATAGGAATTTAATTTTTGCATTACTGGGTATTTAAAGCAGGGCCTGGCAATGAGCTGTACCCCTAAACACACTACCTTTTCTTGAGGAAAAATGGACCTTTCTAAGTAGTGAAATTGCCCACTGTGATGGACTAACTAATGGTCAACTTGTAACAACCAGCTGAACTAAATCAGCATGGTTCTAAGTATGAAAAGCCCACTTGAGGATTATTGCCAGCAACATCAATGGAGAACTGGAGGGTAAGTTGGGCTGCTGTTGATTCTCCTGGAGAAGCTTGTTGCATTGGTTTTCTTGATATAAAGTCAGCAGTTCTCATCATCAGAGAAGTTTGGGTCCTCGCTACTGCTGAGGATGGCTGTGATTCTCTTTGTGGGAGCTCTGGCCCTTACCTTTGTGTCACTTTCTGGCTCAAGTGCAGATCCCTCAGCTTGCTGGCACAGATCCTTCATCCCACTGGCACAGACTTTTGAGTTTCCACCACTAGCATTTGGGCCTTGCTAGTGCAGATCCTTGATAGAGACTTGCATGAGACATTGTTGCGGGATCTAGGCCTCCATTTGGACTCATGGAGGACATTGCCATGGGCTCTAGGGATTTAGCTGAACTTGCTTGGGATGTTGCCATGGAATTCAGGCCCTCAGCTGGATTCTTTAGATCTCTGATTGTCAACAGATCTGTACTCTTCCACATTTGACTTTTTGGGTGAATATTATAAGATAATCCCATATATATTGTGTCTTGCATTAGATCTACTCCCTTGTAAACCCTAACTACAATATTCACCTACAACATTCATCCTATCCTCCTACCACACCCCTCTCACACACACAGTGTTATAGATATGTACCTTCATGCCTGGATATATACAAAATAAAATATCATGATAAGAAGAGCTCACCAAAGAGATGAAGACATTTGAGGAAGAACTTCATGTTTAGAGATGTAGCATATAGAGGTCCTGAAGCCGGAGTGGTTCTGGCACTATGTGGGAAAACAAAGACGCTAGGGACAGAGGTAGACTAATTCAAGAGAGAGAACTGGGCTGAGGTCAGAGTAACAGGCAATCATAGGATTCTGGCTTTGGGTGAAACCAGAAGGAGGTTTTGAGTAGAGGTTTGACAGATTCACCTCTTCATTGTAGCTACTATGTGATGAGTCACTGTTGCAGTTTATATGCAGTGTCCTTAAAAAACCTCAGTGTATATGGAAAGCCAGGCTCACCTCATCTCCTCAGTGAGGGCATCCTAAAGAAAGGAACCTTGCCCTGTCTGAGCTCCTCCAGCAATCTGCACGTTGTGTTTTACACACTGAGTAGGACTGCATCTGCCAGTGCCTGCTGGGCTCTGTCCTTCCTCCTTTGCCTAAACCCTCATCTCTGGTACCTACTCAACCCAAGCCTTCACTGAGGTCCCACTTTGAAGGCTCTTTGGCTGGTATGTTCAGCACAGTCCTCTGAGGGAATGAGCTAACATCCCTAACTCTGAAGATGAGTTCCCTGTGGGCCAAGGCCTTGTACCTGCAGTCTGCTTCTGAGAAGTTTCTGTGGGCTGGTCTGTGCCTTCTACTGCTTAGACATGTGGTTTATGACAAGTTACTTAACTTCTACATTCTCACTTTCTGGTCTATAAAATGGAAGTGAATTAAAATGAAGGGGTGAGATCAGATGGCCTTGAAGGTGCCTTTGAGTGCCTGAAGGGGGGAAGCAGGAGTGTATATCATGCTAGAAGGTTTAACATGAAGTCTATAGCTTAATAGGTTATATTTGGACTCCTTACAAATCTGCATTGATTTTTTTTGTCCATTTCTTCATAGACATGAGGTTAACAGTTGTTTAGGCTCAGAACAGCCTTCAAAAGTATATTTGACTATCATTTAATTGTAGAATTTCAGAAACCTTTTTTGTCCTTTTCTTTTTTGCTTGCTTTTTTTTTTTTTTTTTTTTTTTTTTTTTTTTTTTTTTGAGATTTAGTCTTGCTATGTAGTTCAGGCTTGAACTCACTATGTTACCTATGCTGCTCTCAAACTCACTGTGATCCTCATGCCTCAGCCTCTGGAATGTCAGGATTGCAGGTATATGCCTCTTCATATGCCAGAAACATTTTAAAAACTCTTCTGGATTCATTTAGGCTTGGCTAAGCCCAACGTTCATACAAGGGAAGAAATTATAAAGATCAGAGCAGAAATTAACACACTGGAGAGTAAAAAAAATATAAATAATGAATTGAAGACATTCTTTGAAAGATTAAATAGAATTGACAAATCCTTAGCCAACCTTATCAAAAAAAAGGAGAGAAAAGACTCAAATCCATGCAGTTAGGAATGGAAAAGGGTGAAATCACAACGGACTCTGCAGGAAGCCAGAAAATCATCTATACCTACTTTGAACTTGTATTCTAATACGATGGAAAATACAGAAGAAATGTAATGATTCTAAGATACATTTGAATTACCAAAGATGAATCAAGAAGACACTGGTCTGGGGATATAGCTCAGTGGCATAAGCACATGTCTGGCAAGTATGAGGTCATGAGTTCAATCCCCGGTTTTAAAAAAAAAGTATAAAAATCCTAAATAAGCTAGTATCAATAAATGAAATCAAAGATGTAATTAAAAACCTATAAACAAACAAAAAAACCACCAGGACCTGACAGTTTCACAGCTGGATTCTACAAGAAATTTAGAGAAGAGCTAACCACTACTTCTTAAACTCTTTAATGAAATTAAAAGGGAAACAATACTTCCAAATTTATTCTTAGAAGCCAACATTACTCTGATACCAAAACCAGAAAAGGACCCAACTAAGAATTACAGGCCAATTTCCCTAACCAATATTGATGCAAAAATCCTCAATAAGATACTGGCAGGGACCACAGCAAGTCATCAAGAAGACTGTACACCATGATCAAGTAGTATTCATCCCACGGATGCAGGGATGGTCCAACTATATAAATCCATAAATGTAATATACCATATTAACAAATCCAAGGACAAAGTTCATATGCTCATCTTAATAGATGCAGAAAAATCTTTTGACAAAGTCCAATACCTGTTCATGATGAAAAAAAACCCTATAGAAAATTGGAATAGATGGTCTTTATCTCAATCTAATAAAGGCCACCTATGACTAATCAGCAGCCATCATCGTACTAAATGGACAAAAACTGAAAGCTTTTTCTCTAAAATCAGGAATAAGACAAAGATATCCACTGTCTCCACTCCACTGTTGTTCAGCGTAGTTCTGGAAACTTCAGCTGGAGGAACTAGACAAGAGAAAGAAATAAAAATAATAAAGATATGAAAGGAAGAAGTTAAATTATTGTTATTTACAGGTTATATGATACTCTACTTAGAAGACCTCAAAAATTCTACCAAGAGACTAGATTTAATAAGCAAATTCAGTAATGCAGATGGTTCA